TTTATACCAAATAGGAATAAATGCCATTATTAGTAACTAGAAATAACTTTTAGCTCTTTAATCGCAACATATTGCTTTATGCAAATTCATACAAAATTAGAGTGAAGACTTTCCAGAACATTTGGCATTGGCCTAATTAGATTGTGACAGATTAAACTTGGCACAGGCTGGCATTATTGCTTTCACTATAGAATTCCAGTCAAACATAAATGGACGATAAATTAAACCTATGTCAATCAATTAAAGAAACTTAATGAAACTTTTGCTTTTAGAATAGATTATTTCACACCGCTTGATAAATTGTTTGACTCGGGAAGTAAGATTTAAGCTATATATATCTTGACTAACGCTTGATTTATAGGACACTTAAGGCATTATGTATCAGATTTGCATTTCTATTTCTGGAACATTCCCTGGTGAGATTTTTCAATATATTTGACAATAGCAAAATAGAATAATCGTAACATTTTGAGGGTTTCATTCAGGAGATTGTATACACTATAAAGGTCATATGGTGACTTTTCGGCTTAATTTCAGTGAAAAAGGGGCAATAAAATGGAACCATCAAGCTTTAGTAAACTAGCTGGACATCTCCCTCAAAGTTTTAATATCTATCTAATATCTACTGTAAAGATTAATTTCTGTTAAAGATAATTTCATAATTCTTTGCTTCATAACATAATTATTTCTAATTTTATAATAATTAAAATATTAGCATATAGATCTATATAAATAACTTATCATGGATGGGATTTTTATGATATTCACTACAGTGAATTCACTTTAATACATTTCTAATACGATTTCTTTGTTTAAAAATCAAACTCTATTCCAGACGTGCTCTACAATATTTATAAATCCATGCCATCAATCAATCTGACATGACAGAAATAAAATTTAACTAGGATATTGAAACACTTTGCCATTATTATTAGGATATCGTGTTGGACGTATCGACACAATTTTCATTTTAAAACGGTAGGTAGACCATTTTACAATGCCTTGCAGGTTGTGATGTGCGCTCGTACATATAGGGCTAATCTTGTCATTTTCTCGCGAATCCAAAATCTACATATTAAGCAAATTACAAGTCAGTAAAGGATAAAGTTGAGTCAACAGAAACACGTACAAAATTTAATTGGCATTGCCTGGCAGTATTTATTCTCAAAGAATATTTTTAATATACATTCAAAATTGTAAAAAGAACATTACATTTCTAATACGATTTCTTTGTTTAAAAATCAAACTCTATTCCAGACGTGCTCTACAATATTTATAAATCCATGCCATCAATCAATCTGACATGACAGAAATAAAATTTAACTAGGATATTGAAACACTTTGCCATTTATTATTAGGATATCGTGTTGGACGTATCGACACAATTTTTCATTTTAAAACGGTAGGTAGACCATTTTTACAATGCTTGCAGGTTGTGATGGTGCGCTCGTACATATAGGGCTAATCTTGTCATTTTCTCGGCGAATCCAAAATCTACATATTAAGCAAATTACAAGTCAGTAAAGGGATAAAGTCAAGTCAACACAAGCACGTACACAATTTAATTGGCAATGCCTGGCAGTATTTATTCTCAAAGAATATTTTTAATATACATTCAAAATTATAAAAAGAACATTACATTTCTAATACGATTTCTTTGTTTAAAAATCAAACTCTATTCCAGACGTGCTCTACAATATTTATAAATCCATGCCATCAATCAATCTGACATGACAGAAATAAAATTTAACTAGGATATTGAAACACTTTGCCATTATTATTAGGATATCGTGTTGGACGTATCGACACAATTTTCATTTTAAAACGGTAGGTAGACCATTTTACAATGCCTTGCAGGTTGTGATGTGCGCTCGTACATATAGGGCTAATCTTGTCATTTTCTCGCGAATGCAAAATCTACATATTAAGCAAATTACAAGTACAAAGTACCCTTGGTCAATGGAATGTGCACTTTGTTTTTGGTGTTTAGTGAATATGGACTTATTTCATTTCGAAGTAATTTTTTTTTTAATTTCCATTTATGTTGTCAATTTTGTTCGGATTTTTCTATAGTATCCTTATTCAATCGCTTAAAATAATCAAAGATATATCCAATCTCTGCATGTGCAATAACTTCAACAAATTGTGTGCCGTTTAATTAAATACAAGATTAATACGTTATGTCAAGAAGTCATTTGTTTTCAACAAAATTGTAAAGTTTTAATCAACATCTAGGAAATATTCACTCAGAGGCCTGTAATTCAGCAAATTAAAAACTGAGAAAACAAGACAGTAATTAAATATATTGTAGAGAAATAAGCACCGTGATTTCTTTTTTTTAATATTTTCTCTAATGCTAATCGACCTGAACATATTTGATAAATGATGAAAGACACGAATAGATCTATTGTTTCGAATTTAATGAAAATTATTTAGAATACAAAACTCACAGCTATGCGGGGGATTTGAAGTCGACGGTCATCTTCTATTTATTTTTTTTTTAACCGTTCATTATCAAGTTTAGTCAGACAACAGTATTGGGCTAAGTCTGGCGGTACGAATGTGAAGACTGGCCTTGCTGTATAAACTGGTGACTAAAGTTTCGCCAATTACTGGGCGGACAGACACCGAGGTCACTCCTACGAAAAAAAATATATATTATCAGTTATAAGGATGATTGTTTTGCGGGGCTATTTCAGAGAAAATTTCATATTTAGAAACCTAGCATGTTTATAGTTTAAAGCCTGTATGGAAAAAAAACGCTTATGAGGAAAATCAGTTTATCTTTTGTTGTACTTTCTTCTAATATTTCAATAATTCCTGAACTTAAGCAAGACAGACAAAAATACATAATTGCCAAGTTCCCCATGATCTTTTGTTCGGAAACAATGTTAGACACAAACAATTTTGCTTTTCTATTTTTGTAAACTTTTACGTGAAAAAGTATTTCCTTGTACTAATTAAGGGGGACTCGCATTCTATTGGTTAACAGAAGACTCTCCCATAAATTGATCATCATTCCTTAAATATCATGTCATTATCACCCTTGTTTTATCCTGGAAGGTTTATCTGAAAGAAAAACTTGAGAATGTACATCATTTCCTTTAAATCCATTAAAACAAAGCGCAAAATATCATTACGTCTGCTACAGAATGCCGCTTGAGGAAAATATAATATAGACCTTTATACATTACAAAGTTCCGTAAAAACGGAAGAAGCATTTTGCGCATTATACTTATTATAATAGATAATTATAAAGACATTCACAAAACAACTCATGTGAAGATCATACAGAAAAAAATGCACATTCGAATTGCATCCTATGAATTGCGAAAGTAATTCAGAGCTGATTTTTTTTATCAATTTCTTCAATGTTAAATTGTGCATCATAACAACATAATGAAATATTCTTGTTGTAATATGAAACACAATATAAAACATGCTTCACAATTTTCAGAATTTACATTTTTATCAGAATTTCATTTCAAGCAAAACAAAATAAAAACATTATCGTGAACATTTTTTACACGAAATGTTCTTCTTTATGCAATTACAGCACATTTTCAATTATAAAATAATCCAAATCATTTAATTCTAACTTTCATTTCCGTCTAATTTCCTAATTGAATACAAAATGTCATTATTATTTTTTCTCTATGTTTTGCTTAAATGACTTAATGCCAATATTGAATCACAGAATTACAGAACGACTGAATAACAAAGAAATTTCAAAGATCTAGCAGTCTCCAGGTATGTATACATGCAGCCTCGAAGCAAATAAATTGTGTATAAGTCAGTTTAAAGTGATACAGTGAAAGCAATTAAATTTTGAACAACTAAGTTAACGTTGGTATGCTCGAAGCAATTAAATTTTGAACAAGTCAGTTTATGGTGGTACGGTTTTTGTTGTTTATCCTTTTTTGCCACGATCGCATCAAGTACTTGTATTAATATGACCAAAAAAGAACGTTTGTTGAAGAAGAAAAAACTTGTCTAGTCCCGTTGTGGAATATACACCTACACAAGGCAGTTTAGGAAATGAGTTACAGAACGATGTAAGGTCAGACAATGGGTGTAAGATATAACGTGCTTGGGGTCATTCCTACTTAAACAAGGTGGTTTGTTTTATAGTTTTCCCATATATATTACATTTTCTACGTTTGTTTGAAGTTTAATCAAATAAATGCAGCACATTTCCAGATTTGTGTCAATATTGATAAAAATTTGTTATGAAAAAGGGGACAAACCATGTCATTTTTCCTGTGCAATAAACTTTACACTCATTGTTTAGCACTGGTAAGTTAGAGGAACTTTAGTGTCTATAAGCTTATTGCTTAATACACAGTCGAGCTAAACTAGATTCTGTACAAAGTAAATTTACAAAGATTTCAAGTGATCTTATCGGGCCTATAGCACAGAATGTACAGAAATTTCTCTAACCTGATTAAGCAAAGAATCTGTCATACTTTGCAAAATATGTTCAAAGTTTGACCTGAATTGTGTACATTTTGTACATTATTTGTACATTTTCTAAACAATGAATATTATTTTTCTAAAGTTTGATTTTTTGAACATTTCTGGAGGCTTTATCATTAACATAAAAAAACATCCCTGAGAAATGAATAATTTTTTCCATCTTTAGAAAGAGCACACAAGAGTTTTAAAATGTTTAAATAATGGTCTTAAGGCATTGTTAGACACTTACTGATTTATCACCTAAAATGCAGCACTTAATGTGAAATTATTTGTCCTAATAGAAGCAAAATGTTAACAAAGTATTTTGACTTCCACACAAAATCACTATAACTATACTAATTAACAAAAGCAACAAATGCAAAAGAAGTTTTACGTAATTGGCCAATCAGTAAAATTCTGTGAACTATAAAAGTACACCAAAAAAACGCTTTTGAGAAATAAAAACAGAAGCCTTATGTGGGCATAATGGGCTTATTAATAATGGGTAGTAACAAAAAACACAATTGAATTTAAGCAAATTTTATTTCCTTTTCTATATTTTAAAGCTGTAAGAATTATACCCCGACTTTAAGAGGGGAAATCACAATGCTACATGATTGCACATACATGTATAATATTAACTTAAATTTCATTCCCAGATTAATATACATGTATAACATCTATAAAAATAACCATATAAAATACTAAAATATTTATACAGAAAAATGAACATGATGTAACCCTCGTTTGTCAGGAAAAATAAACCCTGCCATGATGATAACTTTATTAATAATTACATAATGACAATATGAAAATGGGGTATACAATGTGATTTACAAAAAATCCCAAAAAACATCATACTAAAATAGTCTCAACCCTTGCCTTGCCAGCAAAGGCAATAATTAACCTTTTCCACCGGTAAAGGGCCAGGCCAACCTTTCAATATGTCAAGAATCTATAATGTTGGTATGTCTAAATAATGGTTTTAGAGCATGTAAGACACTTATCAGTAGAAATAAATAGCACTCGGTGTAAAATTATTTGTCACAAAAGTAGCTAAATGTAAACAAAGTAGTATTATGACTCCCATACAATATACCAATTCACTATAGCTATATTAATTTTAACAAAAGCAACAGATGCAAAAGATGTTCAGGTAATTGACCAATGAGTAAATTCCTAAGGCACCAAAAAAAGGGTTTTGAGAAATAAAATTTAAAGCATTTCTGGGGCATAATGGCCCTTAAGAAAAGGTATCAGTAAATAAATAAAATAAAATTAAATAAGGGATATGATAAAATTGAGAAATATAACTGTTTTTTGGAAATCAAATATTTGACTACTGGAACAGGTGCACTATTGAAGAGAGAGGCATGATTTAGAGAACTAAGAAGACGTCCATTGGATAATGCTTTGTTTTTGTATTTTAAGAACTACAAGACTAGTATGGTTTCATGCACAGAAAATTCCTGCAATGTTTCTTTTATGTAGGTCCTACTACTAGTGGTACCAGACAAGTTGTTAATTAAAATGGAAATGTGAACATATGTACTTGTGAGTGGTGCATGTACTACAATAAACAAATGCTAGTGAGCGACCCCAATATCTCACTTTGATATTGTTCAAATGTATGCCAGGTGAGCTAACATGTAACATGTGATAAACAATGGTACAAATGAGAATAAAAAAAATATCATTCAAAAGGTTTGATAATTAAGTTCAATATTAACAAGAACTGTCGGAGGACAGTATTGACACGACTATTGGAAAAGTTGTCACAAGGGTGTTTTATTGAGTATAATAATGCTAATTACCTACGAATACATAAAATTGACCGAAAAGGTACAAAGGCTTGTTATTAAGATGTTTTATCAAGTAAATCACTGCTTTATTATTATGAATGCATAAAATTGTCCCAAAAAAGGCACAAACCCTTCAGTAGTTATGGAGATAATAGCTTACCATGAATTTGAAAAAGGGTAGACAAATCAGCCTAAATGCAAGATAGAATTATGGATCCTAGTCAGTGACCTACAATTATGATTCTAAATGCATATGTGAAGTTTTAAATATTGAGATCTGTAAAACTTGCATGTAAACATTAACCAAGAGACTAAGTAGAAAAGGGGAGATGAATCAGCCTAATGCAAGATAGAGTTATGGAACTTGGTCAGTGACATACAATTATGACCCTCAAATTATGACCCTAAGTACATGTGTAAAATTTCAAGTAAATATCTTTGAAGACTTTTAACCTTTAACCAAAATTTCTAAGTTTCAAAGGGGCAAATAATTCTGCAAATATTGCAGGCAGGGTTATGTAATTTTGCAAACTGATGTACATTGTTACTATAAAAAAGTATTGTAAATTTCAATTGAATATCTCAAGCAATAATTGAGTACAAAAAAACTTTAACCAAAATTTCTAAGTTAAAAAGGGGCATAATTCTGTCAATATTGTAGACATAGTTATCCAACTTGTCAATCTGATGTACCTTGTTACTATAAATAAGTATTGTAAGTTTCAATTAAATATCTCAAGCAATAATTGAGATATTTGACTTTACAAAAAACTTTAACCAACGCAGACACCGACGCGACTACAATAGCTCTCATATTCTTCGAATAGTCGAGCTAAAAATCAAATGAAAATAAAATCAATCACTAAAGAAATCATGCATTTCATTAATTTACAGTGCACACACAATGTAAACAGAAAAATTGAAGAAATGTCCCTGACATATAAGTTATGCTCTAAAGCTAAAAAAAAAAAAACAATAAAAAATCTGCATAATTACGTTAACTTGGTTTTGCAGTGTACCTTTTTTCAAGTAAGTATTATTTTAGTGAAAAGTACAGGAGTAAAGCTAAAGTATTCAATAAACTATGTCTTTGATAACAATATGTGCCTAGCTTCTCACTGAGTCTGACAAACCATCTAATCCAACTTAGGATACAATTTAAGAGACAAAATTTGGAATGGTTTCAATGGGAAATATATTTGTCCCTTGCCAGCATCCAAGACAAAGTCATTCCTTTGCTCTTCTTCTAACCCATTGACTCTGAAACAGGAACAAAATATCATAAATCAAGCAAACAGACATTTGAGCCGCATCACGACAAAACCAACATAATGGGTTTGCGACCAGCATGGATCCAGACCAGCCTGCGCATCCGCGCAGTCTGATCAGGATCCATGCTGTTCACTATCAGTTTCTCTACTTGTTATAGGGTTGGTAAGCGTACAGCATGGATCCTGATCAGACTGTGCAGATCTGGATCCATGCTGGTCGCGAACCCATTATGTTGGTTTTGTCGCGACGCGGCTCATTTATATTATTAGTTATAAAGATTTTTGGCAGGTTATACAGCCATATATAAATGACTGGTTGTTTGGAAATTGTGGCTCAGGTTATGTTAGCAAACAACCATTTATACATGGCCATATAACCAGTCAGAAATATTTGTAATACAGCAACCTTCCTTTTTTAGAGAAAACAAACCGAGATTTCTTCAAAAATTGACAGCAGCTGTGTATATTCATCTATAGAAACATCACAATTATCCAATGCAAAGTAATGTTAAAAACGAGCAGTTGCCTTATATGTTGTCAAAAGTCTTTTTAATGGACTGATAAGGTGCACATTTTTTTTACTCCTTTCTTTAACTTAAAAGAAAATAATTAATAAATTTGCAGCAGCCATGTACATTGTATGTAAATAATATAAAACATAATAATTTTCCAACGAAAATCAATGTTACACGTGAAAACTTACACCGAAACTGTCTGCAATGGTATGGTAGTTGACACGGTTGTGCCACATGCACCACCATATGACTCATAAAACCTTAACACTAATGCTCTGTCTTTCTCACTCTAAAATATCAAAATTTCATAGAAATATTATACAGTGTATATACATGTATAAAAGTATACTAATTGTCAAAAATCAAAAAGATGGTTCAGAAAATTGGCCAGTGAGTAACTTTTTGGAAACAAAAGAAAGACACACAAGAAAACTTTTGAGAAATGAAAATAAAATAGCATTTCTGCAGCATAATGTGCCTTTAATATACCAAAAAAATTCAAATGGATTGTTCCAAATTTAAAGCTGGACAACTCTGTTAAAGAAATTCAGCAGGTTACAGGGTAAATAAAGACTAACTTGTGAAATGTTCTAACAATGTATACTTGATAGAAATAAAAGACTGACTGTGTCATCACTACAATATTATTGTCAGCAAGAGCTATCTGTTAGACAGCACGCTCAACAATTCTTATAAATAGTTCAACATATTTCCCTTAATCTGCCCCATTTTATTTTTAAATGAACTTGTCTAGCTTTAATTTCTGGAACTGTCCATTATCAATTTACGAATATCAAAATGAAATTATTTTTTTCTAATGTGGCATATAAATTCAATTTCCTAAATTAAATACATGTAGATGCTGTTTAAGAACACCAGACTTTTTTATACATTTCCGAGGAAGCCTGTTAACCAAATAGGAATAAATGCCATTATTAGCAACTAGAAATTACTTTTGGCTCTTTAATCCCAACATATTGCTTTATGCAAATTCATACAAAATTAGAGCGAAGATTTTCCAGAACATTTGGCATTGGCCTAATAAGATTTTGACAGATTAAACTTGGCACATACTGACATTATTGCTTTCACTATAGAATTCCAGGCAAACATAATTGGACAATAAATTAAACCTCCGTCAATCAATTAAAGAAACTTAATGAAACTGTTGCTATTAGAATAGAATATATTTTACTTTGCTTGATAATTTGTTCGACTCTGGATCTAAGAATTAAGCTATATATATCTTGACTAACGCTTGATTTATGGGACACTTAAGGCATTATGTATCAGATTTGCATTTCTATTTCTGGAACATTCCCTGGTGAGCATTTTCAATATATTCGACAATAGCAAAATAGAATAATCGTAACATTTACAGATGAACAGATGAACTTTTCCAAGTTTTGATTTTATTTATTTTTTAAAGTGTTTCATTCACATAGTACACTTTAAAGGTCATATGGCGAGTTTTCAGCTTAATTTCAATGAAAAGGGGGCAGTAAAATGGAACCATCAAGCTTTAGTAAACTAGCTGGACTGTGATCTCCCTCAAAGTTTTAATATTTATTAAATATCTAAAAATTAATTTCTGTTAAAGATAACTTCATAATTCTTTGCTTCATTACATATTAATTTCTAATGTTATAATAATTAAAATATTAACACACTTTACTTAATAAGCTTATCATGTGATTTTTATGTTATTAACTACTGTGAAATCACTTAAATTCGTGGACATGAAATTTCGTGGTTTTATCAGAAAGAACATCTTTGTGGGTTCCTAAATTTGTGGATTGTCCGTTTGTGCAAAACATAGTTGAATGCAAATAATGTACAGTAAATATATAATTTATCTTACAGCTTAATTGGATCTTCAATTTATTTAACCTATCTATGAAAATTACCAAAATAACTGATTTTACAGCAAGTGACCAAATTATTATCACTTTTTTATTTTGCGTGAATAATGGTGTTGAAAAAGCAAGTTAAGAAGTATCATAACACATGTTTGACAACATTTTCCCATATTTATACACGCAACAATAAAATTGTAAGTGTCTGTAATAATTTTAATGGTAAGCCCCACGTCCCATATGCCACAGCCTGCTATCTAAATCAATATATTACCAGAGAGAATGAAATATATTATTTTGCAATGTTAATGTGTTTAGATTATTTAACCCTTTGCCATCGGAAACATCCCTCTCAAAGAACAAAATCGATGTCTAGTAGCTCAAGTTTATTAAATTATTTACACTAGTCACTGGGAAAATCCCCATCAGAACAGTGGCTTACCTTTTTTACATTCTCTAGAACAACTTGTTTGTTATCAAGCTTGAAGTAGCTGTGACTGTTTGGAGCAGTCATATCAATCTGCTGATGTTGTACATGTAAGGAATTGTTAAAACAGTATGCATGCTTGATCACATCTGCAGCCTGGAAAGTACCTGGAAGTGAAGATTTTTTTACCTGATATTTGACAAATAATGAACCTGTGTATAAACCATTTTCATATTGTATGCAATTTTATTTACAATTTAAACGATTCTTGATCCACCTTAACCTTTATTGAGGTAGGCTTAGAGGCATACTGATAACGTTTTTTCCTGTTCTAAAGTTTATTTGGAATGCTTGTGGACAGATTTCCCCCCCACCCATTTCCCCCCCCCCAAATTTTTATCAGTTCAAGGGCATTAACTCACAAAATACTAAAGAATTTTTTGTTCATGATCTTTTTCAATCACACACAATATTTATCTAATTTTTTTTAATCTGTTCTTAAGTTGTAGATAGGGACCAACCAAAGTGGAGATTCTTGGACCATATTTTTGTAGTGGCCCTTTCTTCTTTTGTTTCAGACTGAATGAATTGTATGTCTACTGTTACATAGCCCCTAAACCTAGTCTAGTTGCTTGGACAGATGGGACACATGGACAGACCCACAAAAACTCTTATCTGTCAAGCACTGCGGCTGAGAGCTACTACACTTTCTTGAGAACTTACCATGATGGGGCATTAGAGCATAATTGAACTCATGAGTCTCTATATCAGCCATGTTATCAGGAGACTTTGGTGACCTAAGTCTGAAAATGCAAAAATAGTAAGTTATTAAATAGTACATTGTACATGTAATCTAAAAAAAAAATGGACAATCAGATATTTCAGTGCCCATTTTTTTGTTCACTATAACGGTCATATAGTAGCTTTCAAGCTTTATTGGCAGAGAAAGAACTTGAGTGCCCATCTAAGCATAAGTTGAGGAACAAACTACTGCCATGCTTCATTAAGTGCCAATAAAAAGGGACGTTTAACATAGTATTGTTAGTGTTTAGTGATATGTGATTTGACAAATGTAAATTTCCTCAAGGAATAAAGAGATATGCAGTTGAATCATTATTTACTATACAATAAATGGAACCAGACAAATTTAAAACAAAACTTTTTAACATTTTAAAATATTGTCAGAAACCAAGATTTTTACTTAAAAACTGACATAATTTTCATAAGATTTTTTTTTTGTTGGGTTTTAACCCTTTACCACATATATACGCGAAACAATGCACTTTCGACCCCCCCTTTTTTTAGGCCTCAAATAGTGCAAAAATGTCCTATTTGGGCCCCAAAGATAAGTTTTCGTTTGAGAAATGTTGCTAAAAAAATTGAGCATTTTTTCGGCGCCAAGAAAATTTTGGACTTGTGAGAGGCTAAAAATGACCCCAGGTCGATCATAATGTAACGTTGAACCAACGCTGAAAAGCTTTTGACTCTATCTCAATCCCTTGAGCAGTTGCAGCACTTTGAAATAAATTTTGATGGAAAAAATCGAGGCAAAATAGTGATTTTTGGCAATTTTGAGATGTCCCCTCGTTGCCATGGTAACAGGAAATTTAAGACTGAGCATGTCGTTACAAAGGCAATAGTCCAGTCAGCATTTGTGCCAAGTTTGATTAGTATTGAAGCATTTTTCATAGTTTCATAGCAGTTTGAACTTGTAACAGGAGGCTTTTCAGTGAAAACGGCCATTTTTCACAATATGCTCATGGGGGAAAGGGTTAACTAAAAAAATTATAAATGTTACAAAACAACAATTTTTCACCAAAATTAGGTGAAAGACCACATGTTAACATGGAAAAACTAGTTTTTAGGTGATTCCAAAGTTTTTCATCATTTTTTGTTAAAGGCTTTTTGACATGATATTTGTTTACCATCAGACAAAGGTCTAGACCAATGACTGTATAGATTTTCAATTCATTCCTTCACCCTGTTTTACTAGAATAATCATTTTTTATGTGTAAAATTACCTAAAAATGAAAACACTTTTTGCTCAAATCAGGCTAAGAATGGCACAAAACATTTATATTCAATTTAATCATGAGTATATCGAATTTTACCCTTTGCAGAGTTTTCTGTATTAAGTGCTTTTTGATCAGTGTAAGAATTTAAAAGTTAGACTTTTTGACCTCAGTGGAGCTCCTTTGACCCTTTCCTTCGTGAGCATATTGTGAAAAATGGCCGTTTTATTCAGTATTTGTATAGTAATTACAATTGGCATCTGGTGCATCTGGTTTTTTGCTTGTTATTACTTTCTTTTAACCCTTTACCTAATGAGCATATTGTGAAAAATGGCTGTTTTCATTGAAAAGCCTCCTGTTAAAAGTTAAAACTGCTATGAAAGTTTGAAAAATGCTTCAATACTGATGAAACTTGGCACAAATGTTGACTGGACAATAGCATCTGTAAAAGCATGCTCAATCGTAAATTTCCTGTAACATTGGCAACAGGAGCTCTTCTCAAAATTGCCAAAAATCACTATTTTGCATTGTTTTTTTCCATCAAAACTCATTTCAAAGTGCTGCAACTTCTCAATGGATTGAGATAGAGTAAAAGGTTTTTTCAGCGTTGGTTACACGTTACGATAGACCAAAGGCCATTTTTAGCCTGTCACATGTCCAAAATTTTCTTGGCAATGAGTGGGTCTGCCACCCCCCTTCAAAGCCCCCCAAACAGAAAGGGGCACATCCCCCTTCTGGCCACCCCTTGATGTATCATCTTAATGGGGGGCGGCGCTGAAAAAGTGAATGAGTGATCATTATTTTTAACAACATTTCTCAAACGAAAAACAGTGTTTGGGGCCATAATATGCCATTTTTTCACTGCCTCAAAAAAGGGGGGGGGGTGTCGAAAAGCTGTCAAAACACGTCTATATGAGGTAATGGGTTAAAGGTCTCATGGCAACTTTTCAGCATTACTGGTGGAGGGAAACTTCATGTACCCCTCCTTAAGGAAATTCAATGTTCCGCTGGTGCAGGGCCAATATTGACCCCAGGGCTTTTATTTGAACAAACTGACTAGACAACGTTTCATGTCAAATATTTAAGCTCTAGCTCTTTGGGTTTTTTAAAAGAATATTTTTTTTAAATTTTTCTGTCAGTTGCCATGGCAACCAGAGTTCTACATGGAATTAAATTCTTTGAACAATTTTTAAAGTTGAATACCAAATGAACATTTCTGTGAAGTTTGAATGAAATTGGCTTAGTGGTTTATGAGAAAATGTCGTTTAAATTAACAGTTTACAGATGGACGACATATTAAGAAACAGGTTTTTAAATAGTACTAAAATATAAGCTATATATGGGTGCCCATGACTTATACAAGCATACGAGTTTAATTCAGAGTGCATTACTGAAATATTGCATGATATAAAGTTCACAGGTGCAGAGTAAAGTAATCATATAATCCATAATGATAATAGCATGAGTGATAAATAACAAACCCTTTCAACTCCATATTTATTAGTGATAAATAACAAAACCTTTCAACTCCATATTTATGAGTGATAAATAACAAACCCTTTCAACTCCATATTTATGAGTGATAAATAACAAACCCTTTCAACTCCATATTTATGAGTGATAAATAACAAACCCTTTCAACTCCATATTTATGAGCGATAAATAACAAACCCTTTCAACTCCATATTTATGAGTATTAATAACAAACCCTTTCAACACCATATTAATAACAAACCCTTTCAACTCCATATTTATGAGTGATAAATAACAAACCCTTTCAACTCCATATTTATGAGTGATAAATAACAAACCCTTTCAACTCCATATTCATGAGTGATAAATAACAAACCCTTTCAACTCCATATTCATGACTGATAAAAAAACAAACCCTTTCAAGTCCATTTTTATGTAACATCCTGCAACAATATGCTAAAACGTATATAAAATGTTTTATTTCATATAAAGGGAAAAAAAACATTGTGAATACCATATTTGCTTGTGCATAGGAGTTCCCTCCCTTATTTCCAACATACTCTTTAAAGGCTTTTTCAATCTGCTATGAGAAAAAAAAAACTAGCAAAACTTAAGTAAATAACTCATTGATAAATCAAAATCAATGATCCATGAATTTATTGATTTATATTATCACTGAATATTTAAGATTTTATTTGAAGAAATCAGAAACCAATCTTGAAAGCCATAGACTTGTGCTCATACAATGGTCACACAAACTCAGGGCCTGATTTTCGCTACTTGCTTTGCAACTTATGCTGATTATCATAACTACGATGAAGGTGGTTGAAAGTTTAACACTTACAATGACATGCGTAGAATATTGTCCACAGCTGAATGACCATACTTGCAATCGTTGAGCACTGCCACACCAAAATCATACTCTGATAAATCTGACCATTTATGACCGCAAACCTTAAATCAATTCAATAAATGTATGACATAGAACATACCATTTATTTTTTGTTGCATTTTACGTAGCATCAACACCGAAGAGGTCACATGGCGACTCTCCAGCTTTACGGGTAGAGGAAGATCTCAGGTGCCCCTCTATGCAGTAATTTAAACAAGAACGAGCACCAAAGTAGAACTAGTAACATTCCATAAGGTAGTTGGATAGCTTCCTCACAGAAAGAATCCAAAGTCCCTGGTGGGCTTTGAACCAACAATAATGAGGAGCAAGTGGTTTGAAGTCAAGTACCTTAACCACTTGGACATGGAACATTTACTTAAAAATATTTACAAAATAGACATGATCGTCCAAGATGTTCACCCAAGAACTATTACTAGACAAGGTCATGATTACTATAATGCAGAAGTAAGTTAGTGGATTATAGTTGTCCAAGGTCAAAGTTCAAGATCACATGCAAAACTGTATTGAAATTACAAATTTGAATGTAAATAGCTAAATTGTTAATAGATAAGTCACTGAGTGAAGTTTAAGGCCAAGCATTGTCCAGTATCATTCAAAACTTTGTGTAATAAAAATTTGAAGGTGAAGGTAACAGCATAAGTAGGTCAGTCTGTCGTTGTGTTATTGACTTGAGGTTGAAGTTAATTTACATGCACCAAATTGTATGTTTGTAGCTATGTCCAAATGAAATTCATGTGGTTTTAGATCAAACATCAGTTTTTTGGCATAAACATTCTTGAGCTTTTGATAAATAAATTATAGGAGAAATAAGCTACTATTTGATTTTGGTAAAAATGATGAATTCTGATATTGATAGATGGGATGATAAGATGGGCAACAGCATTACAACTGCCCACACTGAGCATTCTGTATCAAGTTATGCTAAAAGTAGGTAAAATTATTTATACCTCAAATCTTGCAGTATCCCAGGATGTATTTTGATGGTTTGGCCGTTTGATATGTCCACATTGAATATCATATGTTGCCTCCCTGGTATGTACACTGGTTGGAAACTCTACTTTCAGTAACTTTCTACTCTCATTCCACACTACCTGTATATGTTTATAAGAAATAGATAGGTCTTATATATTTGATAAAAACAAGGGAAAATACAATTACAATAACAAAACAAAACACAACTTCATATCATTCTCAGGGCTAATGAATATAATTTTCAGTGCTAATCATAAGTGAATCATTTTTTACAACAGGGCCATGGTTCATGTATCAAAACTTTTAAAAAGGTCCACTTGGCAATGCTTATGCCAAATATCAAAGATAGTTAACCATTTTTATCCTAAGATACATGATTTATGCCAAATATCTAAATATCTAAAGCTGAAAAAAAATTAATGTTTTCCTATCTTAGTATTTGTAAAATAAGTGACTCCCAAAGTGGGCCAATGTTGACCCCTTAGTAGGGCATGATTAAACAACTGTTTTAGAGGACCACAAGGTCAATACTACATGCCAAATATCTTTGATCTGAACATTGTAGTTTAATCAAATTTGAAGGTGATAGAAAAGCTTATATAATGCTATAATCAATTTTAACCATTAAGAAAGGAGCAAGTTATAAATTCAAAATATGTATGTTTCACATGATGAGTATAAATTTGGTGTTCCCTCAGCGAAATATATATTTCCTTTAACTCAGAAAAAAATAAGTTTCCCAGATATATAATAAGTAATAAAATATACCTTGGTAGAGAACTTGAGATAGGGACTTTGTGCATCCAGTATGATCAACTGTTCAATATGACTTCTTTCACTTATCTTTAATTGTACCTGTAAATGGACATACATTAGACAATTATTAAAGAATCTGACATTATCAATTTGACTTTTGCTTCAATACTTTTTCTTTAAATAAATACATAAAATTCATAAAAAAAGAAAAAGAAAAAATAAGCATACATTATCTCATATCATCCTTTAACAACACAAGCAGACATTAAGGCACAAAATGGAGCTTTTTGGCTGTCAAGGACAGATCCTAGACATGTCTGAATATTAAAGCAAAAGTAACCTTAGACAATAATGAAGGAGGTAAGTCCTGAAAAAGGCTGTTGGTGCCAAGCAAAGGGCCTGCTTTTCAAGCCATCACTCTGTGTTAGGGTCTCACACACCCTAGTACACTTTTCTTAACCAGTCAATGTGTCCTTGGTGAAAAATCAGCAAAGCTCTAAATCTTTAGGGAAAAAGGAGATGCTGTAAAAGTCAAATAGTGGCCTTTTATTTCAGGCATGAAATAGAAATCAGCACCATATTGTCAGCTGGCCTGGTACCTTCCTTACATGAAAGAATATCAAACCTCAGTTAGGGTTTTAATCAACAACATTAAGGGCAAGTGAAGGTGAACAGTTGAGATAGGTCAAGGGAAACACTAAATCAGTATGTATGAATTTTTTTTGAATGACTTATACTTTTGAAAACTTTACACTGCTTTATCATTAAAACTGGGATAAATTACAATGAACTGAACATGGAGAAAACTTTACCTTAACAGCAGCTCGCAAAGGTCCCTTCTCTACTATCCTTGAAGCTGACATTACTGTTTCCACAGGTTTCCTACAAAACAAGCATTCTATTTAATTTAACCTGCTGAACTTAATGACCAGTATTCCAAAACAATTTCTTCACATATGTATATTATATTCACATATATTCTATCAAAAGTACTTTTAGCTAACAATCTTAACAGCGTTCCTAGATTCAGTACTAGTTCTTTCCTATAATAATCAGATCCCTATGTAGCTGTAGCTCCAACAATACCAATAATTCACTTCTCAATTAAATTACACCATATAATATGTCAGTCACTTCTTTAGTATTTCAAACCATTATTAAATAAGTCATTTGAATTCTGAAAAATCAAATACATATTTGAATATGACTTTCAGAATATCCAAATACTGAATTTATTCCTGTCGTATATTTGAATATGGCAAACAGAATATTCAAATACTGATTTAAGAATACGTTCCCATCCCTACACAACATGCTATCTAAAAATTATCAAAAGAAGGTTCTGGGACCATACTTCCTTCAGAAAAATATGTCACAGGCTAAACATGTTCACTTATTTAGGGTGACAATGTGTTAGCAGTTGGATAGCTCAGTTGGTAGAGCTGCTGTACGGTATTCCTAGGGTCGGGATCAAGTCCCCATAAGGCTGCATTTTTTTGTCATTATACAAAATCATTATACCTAGTTTCAAGATGATAATCCATGATGTCCCAGGCATCCCAGTACAGTGGAATATCATCATGTATGATAAACTGATTGGCTGGGAACTCGTCAGACACTGCATTTCTTAAAATATAAAACAGAATTATACTACAATCAAAAATAACCAAAACAAGGGCATAAATACTGATGTAATAAGAAATAGACTTTTAAATTACCTTGTTCCTCTGTATAAATGCTCCCGCCATCCTTACAACAATATACCTAATGCTCTAAAATTGAAATATGTGGAAAAATCATGGGTAACACTGATATTTTCATAGATGAAATCTCAGTAATTAATGTGAATATTTTCACTTCAAATGTTACATATATTACAAACAACAAACCATCTACCTGACAGCGACTCCCAAATATTTTGCTATACAATGAATGACAAACATCTTATAAGTTAGACGGTTTGGGTTTTCAGTCACATCTACACTTTAAAGGTCATATGATGACATTTACTGGTGGCGGAAGACTTCAGGTGTCCCTTTATGCAATATTTGAGACCCAATTGGCCGCCTGAGTAGAACCACTGACCTTTCGGTGCTAGCAAGAAGCTTCCTCACATGAAAGAATCTAAAGAACCTTGCAGGATAAAATCACACAGTGATAAGAGGCAAGTGGTTTGAAGTAAATGACCTTAACAACTCGGCCACAAACTCCCCTACAAATCAATTTGAAAACCAGATATTGAAGTATCAGTGTCATATCATCTTTGTCCCTTAAAACAATAAATATATCTCAAAATAAAAAGCAATTAACTGGTATAAAATCTTTTGTTATTTTAATATTATAGTGAATGTTACAAAAAATTTGTACATGTACTTCAAACTTATAATTGTATTACTAACCTTGCTGACCCATGTAGAAACATTTTAGTAACACGACCAGTCTTGTCTATATATGCCTCTACACATTCATTCTTCATCAAGATCAAACCATCTTCCTAGAAATACAAATTTATTCCTACATAAAACAACTCGGCATCAATATTATCAACTCTGGCTAATTATAAAATTAATAATTTAAAATTTACTTAGCCTGCTTCCATTATTAATTCAAAGACAGTATTTATCAGGTCTTATATATACAAGTTTGTAATTCATAGAAAGTCCTAACTTAAGTCTGAAGTCAGTCTTAAGACCAAAACTGAGACAATTTGCATTTCAAAGAATTTTTTTTATTTTTCTTATGACTCCTGTGTTAGGACTCCTTCAATATCTGAGTACCAATACATATTACATTTTAAAAAGTTATAGTCTGTGCAAACTGCACAGACTTGCAAATTGTCCTAACTCTTCACTGGTTGCATAGATCTTTCACAAACACTTATCTATATGCGCACCAAGTATAATAAATTTGATAACCAAGTTTATAACTTGACTACCTTCAAACCTTCGAACAAAATCAAAAAGTATAAAATAATGAAAATCTTTTACCACATGTTTAACTTCAACAGGAGATACACCAGTATCATTTTTGAGAACACTATAACCATAGCTTGGTACTGTCACACAATCTGTATAATATAACAGATCAAATTAACCCTGAACATGCTAAATAAAGGGAATGGATTTGCGCAGTTTTGAATTTTGGAACAGTCTATTCAAAGTTTAAGGCATTTCAGTGTTAAAATACTAGAATTAAGCTACCAACAGTATAGAGTTTCATCAAATGTTCAGGCTGGTCTGAATTAAACAGAAATTATACATTTGCATAATTATTTAACAAAAAAAATAATAATGTGGCATGCAAATATGGTTTACAAGTGAGGAGAATTTGTATACAGTCAAACTTGTATTAAGCGACCGCGCAAGGGAAACACCAAAAACGGTCGCTTAATTAAACGGTCTCTTAAGACAGTCAGCATGATATAAAAGTCAAAATTTTTAAATGACATCTTTCTTATGCGGTAGGAATGTTTTTTAACTTCATTTTTATATAAATGTTGAATAATTAGTACGCTCCGATAATCTAAATGGATGTAAATGTAAAAAATAACTTTCTGATATTTATTGACAAAACGAGGTGCAAAACAGTTTTGATCCATTACGTACATGTTTGACATTTTTTTCTAGAATTTGTTAACTTCTCCGTTGGTTTTCCTTGTCCCCAACACGAAAACCCTAATAGTGAAGATGTTTTCTGTTGTGCATTTTTTCATTTGAAATAAACAAACTACATCTAATTGTTACGATAAATTTAACTGCTGATCAAGTTTAAGGTCAATTTAATGCAATCTATATGTCAACAAGCCAAGCATATTCACCATCTCAGTAGGGGGGGGGGGGGGGGGGAGCGTTGCATTGTTTATCCGATATTATTGGATAATACACGTCACGCGTATGCTTACAGTAACATGCCATAAGTATTGGTTAAAATGGCGGCCATATTGTATTTAATTGAGCATGTATGTAGGATTAGTTTCCCTTTGATCACATGCTGCCAAACAATGTTGACGTAAATACCACAGATATTAATAGCACAGCCATACTTTTAGGTGTACTTCATTTGCATACGCTAAACCGGTTTGGGAAATAGAAATTTTCACATGTTTATTTGTTGTGTTTTGATTGTTGACATACTTGTCACATTACAAGGCGGCGTTCTCTAAAAACACAATTACTTGACAGGTAAAAGTGGTCATTTAGTGAAAAGCTTTATCTCAATTAGGTGACTAATTAGCGGTCGCTGGTCGCGTTGAGCAAAAGTCGCTTAATACATTAAAGATATAGAGAGAAAATGATCGGGAGGAATTTAAAGTGGTCGTTTAAGACATAAGTCGCTTAATACACGTGGTCGCATGGGCAAGTTAGACTGTATATTGTCAGTCATTTAAAAATCAAGAACAAGTGATAATTATGAGTTAACTTACACAAGTTATTGCCATCACTGTCTACTTGAGAAACATCTTCAACTTTTCTCTTCTTACTTTGCTGTTTTCCAGGAGAATCAGCCTTCTTCACAGCAATGACTTCGGTCCTGTCCCATGATTGGTTGTTCCAGATCACATGACAGTTCTGCATGCCGTCTGCTTTTGTTCCAGATTTTGATATAGCATGGTGAGATGCCTGTGTGCATAGACTGTTTCCTGACTGCATTATGTCTGTGAAAAGGCATATTATATACTTTAAATATAAAGAGGCATCCACTATAGTATCACCATAAAAAAATCTAAGTACTTCAGACAGTGGTTCCAAAGAACAATCTTGAATGAATGTTGCATGACAAAATATTTCACATATCAACTATTAACAGACTTATAATATACAGATTGTGCAGAGTACAGATTTCCTTGAAGAGAAATAAGTAGAATACAGAATTTGCTTACAGAGCAAATGTGTAGAATACAGATTTCCATCAAGAGCAAATGAGCAGAATTGAGAATTTGCTTAAAGAGCAAATGGTAGAATACAGATTTTCTTCAAGAGCAAATGAGCAGAATACAGAATTTGCTTAAAGAGTAAATGTGAAAAATACAGATTTCCTTCAAAAGAATTTAGAGAATACAGATTTTCTTGAAGAGAAATGTGCAGAGTACAGATTTCCTCGAAGAGAATTTACAATATACAGATTTCCTTGAATAGAATTTACAGAATACAGATTTCCTTGAAGAGAAATGTGCATAATATAGATTTTCTTGAGAAATGTGCAGAATACATATTTACTTGGTGCGAACTGTGCAGAATACAGATTTCCTTCAAAAGCAAGTGTCCAGAATACAGCTTTCTTTCAAAAGCAAGATAAGTGTGCAGAATACAGATTTCCTTCACGAGCAAGTGTGCAGAATACAGGTTTCCTTCAGATCAAATGTGCAGAATACAGATTTCCTTCAAGAGCAAGTGTGCAGAATACAGATTTTCTTCAAGAGCAAATGTGCAGAATACAGATTTCCTTCAAGAGCAAATGTGCAGAATACAGATTTTCTTTTGGAGCAAACCTGTAGTCTTTGACATACTGAATAATCCTCTGTAAAGGGACATACAATAAACTGTTACACATACCATTGTAGTATCTGTGGGCATCATCATATACCTGCAAAAAGTAACATTGTTTACAGAGTTTTCTACATAATAATAAAAATCAAGATGCTTCTTACATGAACTAGCCCATTTAACTTAACCTAAATAAAAGATTAATTTGTAAACATTGCAATATCATTTTTTAAGCAATAAGAGGACATAAGGAAGATTGGTGTAAAAAATATTGTTAGCAACTTTTAGATCTTGTGACAAATATATTGAACTAGACAATTTATATCAATAAACGCTAAGTTTTATATTGATGCAATAAATAATATTTGGTAGGACCCATTTATAAGTAAAGAAGTAGAAGTTATATGCAGTCACCAATAAAAGATCATGCAAATTATTCAAGAAAATCTTGAGGAATTAGAAGTTTTGATATTTTCAGGTAAGCTTATACCAAGAGGGTCACAATGGCCCTAAATTGCTTGTCTTAAGCATACCATGCTCTAGTGAGCTAAAAATGTATTTATATACAATGTATAATTTAAGAGAACTCATTATGTACCAACAGGTAAGCTAAATACAAGAGGGTAATGATGGCCCTAAATTGCTCATCTTAATCATAGTTTACTCAAGTAAGCTAAAAATACCAATTTACAAATCATAATTTACGATAACTCATTATGTACCAACAGGTATGCTTATTAAAAGAGGGTCATGATGGCCCTAAATTGCTCATCTTGCATAAAATTGTACCAATATACAAACAATTATGTACCATGCCAATAGAGGATCCTGGTAAAACGTCATGAAACTGGTTCAAGAGAAGCAACTTCCACAATCTCAACAACTCGTCACTAGGATACAGATCTTCCTTACACTGCATAACCATGGCAATGCAACTCATGAACTCGGCATCGTGTAGCAAGAACTCACATTTCCTGTTCATTTTTTTCACCTGTAATCATGGAGCTAAATATACAGTATTGGATATCAACTTCAGTATTTTTGATATCAAAATCTGAATGGCCGTTAACAAACTGATGATTTTGGAATTTAAAAAAAAAAAACAAGAACCAAAAAACATGTCTTGATAATGATACACATGTTTTCAACACTTTATCCATGATATACCTTGAATTATATTCAATTATGTATATTTCGGCTCCCATTTTGCTTATCACAACAGATAAAAGTGAATGTCAGTTCTATCATTTAAAGATACATGTTGATCTATTCAAGGGTAAAGTGAAATTATCATTACATATAAATTCATATCATACAAGTCTAGGGAAGTGTCATACAGCCAACCAATAAGATTTTTTCAATCACATGATATTATAATTTCCTGAATATTGCCCAAAAATGACAAAATAACAGTTGCAAATATTACATTAAAAACAAGCATTATCATGTAGTGATAAAAATTCATACCTAACACAAAACTTACTTTGGCATGTGTTGTGTATGTACCATTGTGTAACTCAAGGTACAATTCCCCAGCCCATCGACACAATTTCCCACCATCCTCCGCCTCGATGTCACTAAAAAGCTGATCAGGTGTGCTCATTTTAACTCTGAAAGATATATAACCAAATTTCATCAAACTAAATTTTACCACTATCCTAAAACTTCAAGCATCACTAAAGAAATCATTATGCATAAAACCAGATTTACTAAGTCCTGGTAAGAAAGGCAAAGACTTTTATATTTGACAACCATACCAATCAGACAATTTTACAGTTTCCTGTTCTGCTTCACGCCTATAGTTACAGGTAAAACTAGAAATGTGTCCATGGGACACGGATGCCTCTAAATTCCACTGTTTTGTCAGTCAACTGACACAAAGCAGGGCAGTATGACAGATGGACAAAGGAAATTCTACATGACACCCCCTACCACTAAATGGTTGGGGCATAAAAATGACATGCAATTTTTTCAATGTTCACATTTGATTTTTCACAAAATATTGAGCTGCAAAAATTCCAAATTTCATTTTAATATTACAAGTTTATATCCTACAGAATCCTTAAAGACAATTAAAAGAAAGCAAAAAACCGGATGCAATTGCCAATTGAACAAAAGTTGTAAATTGCAAATCTTTACTATTAGTGAGGGGCAGTAACTCTAACAAAACTGAATTAATTCACACACAAATCCGCATCTGCACAACTTCACATGCTGATCCATATTCCTGTAAAGATTGTTGATCCTTAGCAACCCTGAGCAACACCTCTCAGCAACAACGAAACTCTCTGTTTGTCAAAGAAGGTTATTCTGCACAGGTTGATCTGTATCAATATTAAACTACATGTACATGTATCTAAATTGAAAAAGAATAACAGATTTTAGATTTATTATTATAATGCAATAACATGAATGCATACTTTGGTAATCCATCTACATCTTTCATTCTTGTTAGTCTTTCAACCATTTCTTCTCTGAAATCGTACAACATTCTATCATTATAAATTTATAACAACCTAATATAAGAACAACAAAAAAAACTTCTTCAAGTTTTATCCAGACAGATTCTTTAAAATGTTAAAACACTTGCATCAATGATTAAACTAGGAGAAGATCCATCCTTTTAATATGTTTCCTATTAAAAGCTTTCGGCCCAAATCAAAAAACTTTTATCAAAAATGAAAGGGAACCATTAAGATTTTTTCCAAACCCTAAATTTAAGTTGTTCAAACCAGTAATAATTTCAAGGAAGAAAATTTGTAAGTGCTTATTGTTAGATTGACACAAGATGTTGGCTTGACACACTTTTTGATGCCAGTAAAATAAATTTAAACTTGTAAAAAGGTGAGCAAGCTCCTAATTTTCCTCATTAGTATTTTAAGCAATTTGTTAAACAACTAAGAAATAAATAATTGAGTTGTATCCCTATTTTATAAAATCACCTATCCCACAACGCGAGGGTTTTTTGAATCCCATCAGGGCCATCGAGTTTCAAAATAACATAAAGTTCTTACGATGGTCCATTTCCACCATCACCAAATCCAAACAGAAAAGCTGTCTTGTCTGATCGGCCTTTGTCTTTAAAGTTTTTCGTTGTTCGTAACACCTGACCAATAGAATAATTTCAATTAAGATGTGAGTCAAAAGTAACATGGTATCTGATTCTACAAAAAAATCAGTCCAGATAGAAAATGAAAACTCAGGACAGAGACCATATTTTTGTGTTTGGTTTATTCACCCTTGTCTAATGAATGATGAATGACTAATATTATTCTCTTGGAGTATTTTGCATTTGCTTTTTTTCTAATGATATATTGACCATAACATATTTCCTTGTTTTACATAAATTAATCAGTTTTTTGGTTTTTGTTTTCTTTTTACTTTTTAAAGTGGCACAAAACACCACACCTCAAAATTGTATCAAGTGAATAAAATACCACACATGAATTTTATAGAGTGGACATATCCCCAAACTTACTAATTATTTGTTACCATACAATGCATATGACTTTGATCTAGGAAAGATTTAATTAAGTTTATTATGGTTTCTTTAATTACTTTATATATTTCCTTTGACCATGATAATTAATGGTATGTCATATTTTATTTCAATATAGTTACAATGCAATATGATTAAATTATAATAAACTATACAAAATTAATAAAACAAACTGATAAATAAAGATCAAAGGGTAAACTTTCAAATATTACAAATTGTTGAATAAAAATTAAAGGGTTAACATTCATTTATCTTAATTAACATCAATTATTCAAAGAGTCAATAATGGTGGTTTTTTTATTGTCAAACAAAGGTCTATACAAATTAGTAATGAAAATTGTGGGGTTACGTCCACTCTATAAAATCAAAGGTGTGGGGTTTGTCCACTCTGTAAAATTCTTGTGTGGGGTTTTGACATGTGAGGTTTTGACCGTCTTCCATCTTCAGATGAATAAACAAAATCTTCAAAAAATCAAGTTTGAGAATAAAATATTTAAAGTTCAGAAAGATGTATACATTTTTCAAAATTTATGAGAAACATTGAATGTATCTATGCATTTGAATGATTAAATTCATCTCTCAAATGCTCAAAAACGTTACCAAGCTTTCCAAAGGCTTGATTTAAAAGACTTTTATAGATTCACTTTATTCAATTCCTACACGGAAGAATGTAAGATCCTACTTGTACAAATGGAAGAAATACAATCCACAAATAATTTATATAACTCATATAACAATACCTCCTCTACTTTGCCTCTCATTGTGTAGCAATCACCAGGTGGAAAATGGGCCAGTACTCTACTGCAATCAATACCTTCCCACCAAAATGTGTGGTGCTGAAATTATCATATGTAAAATGTTGTTTAAAGGACATTTTTACATCAAGTTACACAGATGCCTCAAATGAATTCATTTAGTAGACTAAACCTAACTTAAAAAAAATTCTGTAAAACTAACAATTTATATACATGTACAATTCAAAATATGACAATGAAAAATCCTTAAGCAATCTGCGAAATAGGCCAAGCCCGAGACCAAATCTAGTGAAATTTCAATGGAGTTAGCATAAAATAAGGGGAACATAGTACCCAGGTTTGGCAATGTCTTGTTAACAACTTTTGCTAGAGATTTTGGGGCTGGTAAAAAACTGGTTTGTGCTCCATGATATTGTAAAGGACAAAGCCCAAAACACAGTGAATAGGTCATATTGTGAATTTTCTAGCATTAATTTTCTAGGTTTATAAAGATATTTCGTGCCAGTTTGTTACCAATTTACTAGAAAAAGGCTGAACCTGAGTAGAAACATAAACTTTTCATAAGCATATGAAATATTAAATGTCACTTGTGAGACTAAAGTGATTTAAAGTCTTCAGCATTAAGAATTCAATGACAGGGAGCCCTTACTTGATTATCAAGTACTAAACTATTCTTTTAACAAAAATAATGTAAGACTTAGTGTTGGTTTAAGTTTGTAAAAACGGAAAGGAATTGTACTTCCAGTGACTGGTTTTTATACCCAACCTTGGTAATGATATCAGAATGAAACCGATCATGTGCTATAAATAGCACTGAGAAAACCCAATTATTTTCACCAAAATAAACTGGACTTATTTCTATGTAGAATAGTCCATATTATAACTCTACAAAACAAGAGCTGTCACAGGAGACAGCGAAGCTCGACTAATAAAATACTGGACGCAGTAAGGAGGACAAAACTATGAAAGAAAAATCAATTATGTATAATTATGTATTAAGTTATAGTAAAAAAATAATATTTGTTAACATAAATTCCAAGATCAAGGGGAATAATTCTAGAAATAGTCATGCTAGAGATATGGACCTTGTCACACAACATTTGTGTAATGATAAGAAATATACATTTGAAGTTTGAAGTAGATACCTTAAAAAGAAAAGAAGTTATTATGTTTCTTAAAGAAAATCCTAAGTTCAAAGAGAGATAAATCTGTAAATATTGCATAAAGAGTTATGAACAATGTCACATAAAATGTAAATGTTGATAAGGAATAAGTATTTGAAATTTGAGGTAGATACCTTTAAAAATAAAAAAGTTATAATAAAAAATAACATTTTTCTAGTAAAAAATCTAAGTTTATGGGGAGATAATTCTTGCAATATTGGTGCTAGAGTTATGAACCTTGTCACATAAGATGTGGATGATGATAACGTGAACATATTTGAAGTATGAAGTTGATCCCTTTAGAAATAAATAAATAACAGTAAAAAAAATATTTTTATGGAAAATTCTAAGTTCAAAGGGAGATAAATCTGAAAATATTGGTGCTAGAGTTATGAACCTTGTCACATAAGATGGGGAAGATGATAACGTAAATACATTTAAAGTATGAGGTTGATCCCTTTAGAAATAAAGAAGAAACAGTAAGAAATAGTACTTTTTGAGGAAAATTCTAAGTTCAAGGGGAGATAAATCTGAAACTATTGGTGCTAAAGTTATGAACCTTGTCACATAAGATGGGGATGATGATAAGGTACATATATTTGAAGTATGAGGTTGATCCCTTAAGAAATAAGGAAGTAACAGTAAAAAATAGTATTTTTTAAGGAAAATTCTTAGTTCAAGGGGAGATAAATCTGAAAATATTGGTGCTAGAGTTATGAACCTTGTCACATATGATGTGGTTGATGATAAGGAACATATATTTGAAGTTTGAAGTTGATACCTTAAGAAATGACAAAGTTATAGTGAAAAATATTTTACTGCACCAAAACTTTAATCTAAAATCTGGACGCGGATGCGGACGCCAACGCCGGGGCGAGTAGGACAGCTCTCCATATACTTCGTATAGTCGAGCTAAAAATGATATTTTAAAAATATTTCTGACACATAAATTGATAATGATCAATTTAAAAGAGAAAAACTCACAGGAAACTTGTTCACTAAATTCCAGCTCATTTTCTGCGTAAGAAAACGCGTTATCCCACAATGCCTCATAATCTGTGGCAACTGACCTGAGTAGCCAAACGTGTCTGGTAACCAAAACTGAAATACATAGAGAATATTTTATTTCCTATAAATACAGCATTTATTTTCATCGGGTGGTATGAAAAAAAACATTTTATGTGTGGCCTAAGCCATGAGTGAAATATGATAATTTTCATACCACAATAAATTCTTGTTATTTACAGAAAAAACTTGAATTTTCTGTTTATTATATATATTTTTCTTTTTTGACATTGCAATTTGAAAGACTTCCTCTAACTTTTGTGTATTGGCTGAATTTAGAAGAAAGTAGTCCTGCAAGACATCTGTGACAATACAGAGAATATGTTTCACTGCAGTGAAAAATAAATTTAACAATGAAAATACAGAAAATGAAAATACCCATTTGATTTCATCAACATTTCTCAATATTTCATTTATAAGTATATAATAAATATTTGTGAGAAAATACAAAGTTTATCTAAAATTGAGAAGTGCAATGATATGTTTATGCCAGCAGAAACGTAAAAGCATGTGCAGTTACACTTACTACAAACATAGGAGTCTTAAGTTTGTTTCCTCGCTAGTTTAACTACAGTGTAGTAATAACTTGTCTATCATTCAATCTCGACAAAACCATTCATCATTTTGAGGAAAAATTACAAAATGAGTATTGACTAAATAGCCAACAGTGCAAATCATAATTAGACAGCTTTAAATGTAAAGGAAGACCGCATATGTCACTCTGTACATTATTTCTGGTATGAGAGGTTACCTAATTAAAGTAGAACAACAAAACTTCTATCACCTTCCTGAATATCTTCATAATATGAAAGAATATAAAAATCCAGCAGGATTCAAATGGCTACAATGAGATGCAAATGATTGGAAATCAGCTATCAACTCACTTCTTTGCAGGTAATACCAAATTCTTTCTTGAAAAACTGCTGACCATACAGAAACTGCCTGATAAATGACTCACCACTAGGAAGCAGGCCATCCTGAAACAATAGATAGTGTATATAAAATGAGGAGTATTTGTACAGTATATGGTTTGGTTAACCAACACTGCTGTGATTTTCAAGTCATTACTAAAAAACCTATTCTATAAATTATTAAGGCACTAGAGCAGGCACTAATTAGAATTTCAACTTAAAGCACAAATACTATATTAATGATGTATTATGAGCCTTTTGCAAGATATATCACTTTTCATTTTGTTGGGTTTCATTAATGAGACACTCGGGTGTCTGTGAATTATTTTAGGCATGAGCGGGCACATGAGTATATTAGCACTCTCTGGGTAACTTCCTCATATAAAAGATTTCAATTTTCCATATCCTGATTCAAATCGCCAATGGCAAAAGACAATTGTATTGAATGGCTTTAATAACTCTAATGCAACAGAACACTTTTCAAATAATTCTAGGAAATTGCTAAAGAAAAACAAGTTATTTCTTAAAATACATTTTAGGTATGAACAAATCTTGAACAAATAAGACAATAAAAATTTACCATTTCAACCCATGTTCCACCCACAGGTATAAACCTTCCTTCTGCCACATACTTCTTTATATCAGCATACAAACTGGGGTATCTCTCCTTCACCCACTCGTATTGCTGGGCCTGTTGTGATAATATCTTTTCATTTATCAAGTTCAAATTTACATAAGCTCAATGTCATTTTTTTAAATGAATACCGATAAAAAGATAGATTACTTAAAAGGCATGAAACAGGAAAACTGATATTTTCCCACCTTGGACAATTGCCCACTTAACAATTGTCCCTTTTTGTCAAATTTCCCTTCAGGTATATGAGAATAAGGATTTCATTACCTGGGAGCATGTAAAGGTAAAGTCGGGATATTTTTCCATCAGACGTATAGTACAAGACCAGCTGCGCGCACATTTCCTTATAGTTTCACTGTATGGCCACAACCAAGCTGTAAAACAAATATGAGCCACGTCATGACAAAACCAACATAATGGGTTTGCGACCAGCATGGATCCAGACCAGCCTGCGCATCCGCGCAATCTGATCAGGATCCATGCTGTTCGCTATGGGTAATAGGGTTGGTAAGTGAACAGCATGGATCCTGATCAGACTGCGCAGATGCGCAGGCTGGTCTGGATCCATGCAGTTCGCAAACACACTATGTTGGTTTTGTCGTGACGCGGCTCATATTTACATCTCCTTCCTTGAAAAGAAAGTGCATCATCATCTTAAAAAAGATTTCACTTACCAATATTAGCATGAATTTTTTATGGCTGATTCCATGTAAAATAGATATGGATCCCCTGTTAGATTATTTATCTTTTAAAACAAAAGCAGAAGTAAGATTATTATTTTTGTTAAATTCTAATAATAATGCTGAAAGGGGCATAATTATGAAAGCTATATTTTTGGTGTTATGCCCTTATTTACTTTTTTGTCAAAATTTGTTGCATTTAACAGACAAGTGTTAATAATGCTTGTGGTGCTCTTGTTTGAATTATGCCCCTTTGTCTGACAACTTCATCTTGCCACTGCTCAATGACAACGACAAAGCCTGACAATAACCACAATGCACGACAGCAACATCAAAGTATGACAGCAACCACAAAGCATGCCAGCAACGACAATGCATGACAGCAACGACTTAATACAAATCTTGAGACACACAATTCTAATACTTTGACAGAAATATTAAAGAATAATGGTATCAGTAAACTTGAACACATCCTGCTTTGATGAGCTTTACTCTTACAACCCTAAATATTGTAAATGGACTTGCCCATTGCTCAATCTGGACATAACCATTCATCATTTTTAGGGAAAATTTACAAAAATATTTACTGGCTGAACAGTGACAGTGCAGACCATGATCAGATGGCATGGATAGGTAGAATAAGTTGTCACCAGCAGGGGTAGGGTTTAAATAAGTAACAAAACAAAGTAAACACCTGTATCTATATGCGCATGACCCATTGCATACATTTTATGCTGACTGTCACCATTTTTCTGACGGAGAAATCTGTTGGCAATTTCATGACATCTATAATACAAATACAGTCATCTTTACACTACTGTCTGGTAACATTCATCTTCTGACCAACTTACTCTTCATACGAGTTAATCACTGCATAATTGATTGATTGATATAAATGATTGATTAATCAAATGATTGATTGATTGATCAATTGATTCACTGATGTATTGATTGATTGATTGATTGAATGAATGAATGAATGAATGAACAAACAAACAAAAAAAACAAACAGGTGAATGATTTTTTAAATGATTGATTAATTGATTGATTGATTAAATTGATTGATTGATTGATTAATTAATTAATTGATTGATTGATTGATTGATTGATTGATCGATCGATTGATTGATTGATTGATACAATAAGCAAACTTGGCACATCATAAAAATAACAAAACAGAAAAATTTATGAATTTATTAACAGCTATGTCAGACAACATAATGTTTCAAGGATGACAAGAGAAGAAAGTTAAAACAAACTCTTATTTCCACTGTAGTCCTTGAGGTATAGTATTGTGTGGCATAGGAAGACAATTGTTTAACAAAAATTTAACCAAAAATATAATCACACAAAAAAATTAACAAATAAAAAAACTAAAAGTTGAAAAATATATCAACATTGTTCTAAACATTTAGAAATATCCAATATAATTATAACACCACTTCAGAAATCAATGTATGTACAAAAAAACTCCAAAGATACAGATTACATAATTGTACAAACACCATGTTACCTGGAATAAGAATCAGTGTCATTCACATCACAAGCATTCAGCATTTCATTGACTGTATACAGTGCCTGGTAGCCTCTCTCACTCCCCTCTGGTAAATGCTTAAATCGTGAACAAAATATATAATTTATATCAAATTGGCTGGCTTTAAAGGGGCACGCCTCCCTTAATGCATGCTTATTTTTACAGAATATTTAATAAATGTTTTTAGTTTTTTAAAATGAAATATTGTAGAGTGAACAAAGAAAGTAATTTATACATTGCAAACAGTGTTAACAATCCATGAAAACTACCAAATAGAGGTCAAAATATGCAAAAAAAGACCTGTGTTTGTTACACAGTAGAAATATGGTGATTTATACTGCAAAATCAGTCATTAATTGCACATAACATGTAAATTATTATTTGAATCTTGAATCTTTTCACTTTTATAACAATTATTAGGTTTTTCTCAAGTTTGATTTAGTTGTAATATTTTTCGCTCATCTGAAGGCATGCAGCTTTAAAGTAAAACCCATAAAGTAATGATCATTGCGGCAATTTTTTTAATTCACCAGTGGAGAAACATTTTAATCCTTAATGCTGGAGCCAAAAGTGATCAATCAGCCTTTGCAAAGGCCACCCGTGCATACATATTTTAATATTGAAATTCTTAAACTTTTGATTGAATGATTGTTCTAAAGTCAAGGTTTTACAAATCCATTACATAACATTAAAAAATATATATATATATGTTTGTCTATCATCTTCTTTTTATTAACACTATCTTATAGACTATATGAATCTTACACTGGCTGCCGGTACAGACCGGAATATCTAGCTCGAGGGTGACTGTTTATGGCGGTAACGAGGCTCTGCCGAGTTTCCGCTAAACAGTTACCCGAGAGCTAGATATTCCCGTCTGTACCGACAGCCAGTGTTTGATTCTTTTTCTTGCATATTACATATCAATTATTTTCAGAACAGAAATTACGAAAACCTATATTCTCATTACACACTTTTTTCTTATAGTAGCATATGGACGTACAACTTCATTCATAACGGTTAAGTGACGTCATCCTAACAACGCAATTCATTCATAAAAGGCGTGCAGCAATGACGTCATTTAAAGCACGCGACTTGTCTTACATGTGGGGTGTAAGACAGGGTTTTCTAGCACCGGTGTAAACGGTAGATAATCCTGTCTGATATGCAAGAAATCTGTATCACTATTGATCCATTTTGAATTATGTACCAGCTTTATTTATAACATAAATATTTGTTTCTACATGTTATCATATTTTTGCCGCTAAATGCCAAAACGTTTTTTGCGCGTTTAACGTGTGTTCAGTTATGACGTCGCATCAGGTAATTTATAATGTTTTGCACTGATAAAAGCATACAGCCGAAACGTATACAATAAATAATTACTGAATGTTCGTGTCTGTTTATTACATTACATTAGCAGTTTAAGAGTATTATAAATTTGTCTAAATGCATCATTTCAGGCATGAGTGTAGAACCACTGAACATCAGATATATGAAGTGTTGATGAAGACATAATACTGCTTTAAAGGGGGCAAGAGAGATTTTACACTTAACTTGTCTCTAATAAAAAGACTCGATTAAACCAAGCCTGGAATTTTCATTTTTTTTTATTTCTGAATGATCTCCACTCTTTCATTATTTCTGATAGAGTTTCCAAAAACGTTTGAAGCATTCTACGCAATCTTTTTTGTGTTTGATTGTACATGTAATTATATTGTGTAATCATTGACATAAAATATTATCTGGATAAGCTTTTCATTTAAAGTTATGAATAACTGACCTTATATAAAAACAACTTAAGTTGGTGCTTAGGGTGGGGTGGGGGTAAGCCATGTTGCATTTTTAGTATCTCTCATAAACAGACTCAATCAAACCAAGTCTGCAATAAGCACTCTAACATGCTCTAAAACCATAATTCAAATGTTACCAAACTCATTTTTGCTTTTCCAAAGAGTGAGACCTGATGTGCTTTTAAATGCTATGATGTTTTTGTTATAATTTAAAAAAAAATCTTTTTTCAAAAACTGACATTTATCAACATATTCAAACATAATTGATGTTCTCAAAATAAATTTTTCGATGTACTTGAATGAAAAATATAACTCACTTTTGCTATATCATGTAGAAATTCCACTTCTCTATACAGATTGAATGCCTGCCTGTTATAGACAGCCACCTCACATGTACTCAAGGTGAACTGTTTCTCGAGATTAGGCGGGGAAATCATTGTGTCAGTGCCAGCCCCAAACATTCCATTGCAGGCCATTTCTACATACACTGTAAAGCTGTAGCAAAAAATTTTATTAGCCTTTAACCTGCTAAAAACCAGGCGAGCGTTTCACTAACATTCTTTAAGTTTCACGTAAATCTGGACTTACGCAAAACGTAAATTTACGTGAGGTGCGTTTCGCTAAACAGAATGTGCAATTTACGCCAGTAATAAGTAAGCGTAACTTTACTTTACGCACATGCATAGCTAAGAAAATTTAGTTAAACACAAATAAATACGTAAGTTCTGCTTATAATAAGCAAAAAGTTACGATAAAACTCGAGTTACGATAACGTAAGTATGTTAGTGAAACGTATCCCTGAAGAGACTGGGTATTGTCACCAGTATAGTGCCTTCTGTTGGCAACTATTTTACTAGTTTTATCTTTTTCTTAAAGATATATTATACTCCAATTTCTAAATTTGTCATTTGTCTCTCATAGATGATTCAAGGGACTTCATTTTTTGACAAGATGGGACTGGAAATATTTTTCCGAGATTTGTGTACCAATGGATGAAGGTCTGGACCAATAACTTGTGTGGATGATAAACCATAATACATTATACATACATAATATTTTTAGCAAAATGAACCAAAAATGAAGAGTTCATTCAAATTCAGCTAAGAATTGCACAAAACTCGATTTTCAAATTAATTCCGAGTATAGGCTAAGAATCGCACAAAAATTGATTTTCAATCTAATTCTGAGTATATTTCTATATCATCCTTTGCAGATTTTTCCATTTTAAATGCTTCACTTAATATTTATAAGATTTTCAAATTATATGTTTTTAAGCCTTAGGCCTCAGTGGAGCCCCTTTCAGAAATCATGTGGAATTAGTAATCGGATACTAGTGTAACTGGATAGTTATCCAGAAAAGGCTATAAGATTGACCAAAATGCGTTAAAATTGAAAATAAAAGCCTGGCATTACCAAGCAGTGTATAAGAATACATGTAAAAAACAATATAAAGATACAAAATATACCTTAAATGATCTTCAGTCAATTTTTCAGTTAGAGGGAAATCAAAACGCTCATACTCTTTGCATAAACCCTAAAACACAAAATAAAATCATAGTAAATAATTCATAATAAACAACAGAAATAAAATAAGGAAAGTCATTTAAGAAGGGTGTTATGTCAGGGTATAACGCTGTCAAACATTGAAAATTTTTCCAAAAATAAAAATTAATTGGGCTGTTTAAAATTTGTACTAAATAAAAATTTCCAAAGAAATGCAAAGAAGTTTTTTCCTTAGACTTTGTATAATATTTGATGAAATCAATTGAAAATACTGGCATGAAACTTGGAAAAAATAAATTCCAGATGAAAGTAATATTGTTTTTTAATTTTGAATATACATGTATTTTGTAAAACAGGCATGACATGTAAGATTTCAAGCATAATTTCTAAGCTTAAAGAAGCATGCCTCCAGATTATGTGCTTATCTTCATAAAAATTTTGAGAAAAAAAAATTTTAAAGTAAAATATTGTGAAGTGAACAAAGAAATATAATAATTTACACACTGCAAACAACACTAACAGTCCATGTGAATTTCCAAAAACAGGTCAAAATTGGCAATAACAGCCCTTAGTTTGATTTTCTGGAAATATTTTTGCTCATCTGGAGGCATGCAGCTTTTATGAGGGTCCATCAACCCTTTCAAACACTGAGTACAGATCCTGGACATGTCACAAATATATCCTTCAAATGTTCAATGAACGGACAATTTTGGTGCACAAACCTGCCTTGGCTCCCCATCAACCCAGACCAAGGCCTCGGAGCTAGAATCCCATCTCAGTCTAACCTCCTCCCCAGTCCAGTCTCTTGGTACAGTCACCGATATATGGAACCAGTGTGTTGCCCATCTATAATACAAAAACATTAATATGTAATCACATGTATGTCCCTGGGTAAATATGTACAGCAAAGCAGGAAAAACTTCAAACATTTCAAAAACAATAACTGTTATACAAAGTTAATGTCTGACAAAAATTTGCAAACAAAAAATACCTCTTCGTTCCTGATCTTTTTCTTATAAATAATAATAAACCCAAATTTTGGGTATTATAAATATTGCAACAACAACAAACATTTACTACAATACTAAATAAACAACTCTTTAAGTCACAAAATGGAAAGAGGCTGGTCCACTACTGATAATACAATTATTTATAACAACAAAAATAAAAATCTCTAACTTAGAAAGGATTATAACTCCAATATTATGCAAAAAGAAGTTACAGTTCTTGGGCACAGTCACTGCACTTCTCAAAAAGATCTATCCTTCAATAAATTCTTATCTTCCAGTTATGCTCATGTATAAATCATGTATGTTTATATAATATTATGCAATAAAATATTATCAAAAGTTTGACCTTTAAATAATTTGGGACATAAACTAATAAACAATCATTTATTTACGTTGGTCCAAAGGACTGTCCTACTTTCACCGCCTTGTATTTTTGTTTCACTGCATCCTTATATGGGGTATATTTGTTCAATGGTGCTGCCCAGTGCTTTATAGATTGAACAGGAGCTTTCTTTGGATACAGTCTAAAAATATATTAATAAAAAAGTGAGTGACATAAGTTACTGATGGTTCATGTGTAGTAAATCATAAAATAGAAAGGAATTTTAACAAAATTTTAACTTATTTTGACTTTCACCTGTTCACTCACAACCCTTGGAAAGGCATAATGTTACTTTAAAGGGACTCCACTGAGGTTTTTTGACATGAAGGGACTGAAAATATTTTTTTCCAGATAAATGGACCATTTGAAGTAGGTTTAGATCACTAATCTATGTGCAAAATTTCAGATCATTCGCGCACTTCCTTTTTCCAGAATAATTATTCAAATTGTAAAAAAGTGACACAAAATAAAAGACTTTAAAAAACTTTTCACTCAAAACGGGCTAAGAAAAGCATACAAATACGATTTTCAATTTATTTCAAAGTATAGTTCTTAACTATCTTTGCATATATTTCTGTTCAAAGTGCCCCAGCTCATGTAATGAATGTATGTAAGAAATTCAAAAGTTATGTTTTTAGGCTTTTAAACCTTAGTGGAGTCCCTTTTAACTACTATAAATGATAAATGCAAATTCCTAACAGAATAATGCAAATTTAATAGCAGTCATGTCCATCACACAAATTTAGTAAGACAAAGGTTCAAAACCTGCTTGTAAGATTAACGTCTGCAAAGTATTTTGTTGAAATGAACTTCTCTGCTCTTTCTAAAGTAGTGCGTCTATGCTTCAGAACTACAGGTTCCATTCTTACTTCTTTTCCTGCAAAAAAAAAAATAATTAAAAAAATAATTATACTGTGTTAAACTGTGTTATACTAAGTTAACAGTACTGAATGCTTTGAAACAAGAAGGAAAACAACAAATGGAACTTATGGAAGACAAATTGTCATAAGCTGTAACATATAGGTATTTTCTGCTGTATGACACAAGGAAACAACAACATATTCAGTCAGAATCAGTTTTAATGGGCCAGACGTAGACCATTTTACATTTTATGTAAAAATCTAGAGATTTAAAATATTCTGCACAAAAACTTTGATATTTAGGTTACTGAATAAAATATAACAATTCGAACCAATTTTAACACTGGTCATTTGAAAATATGCCATTACAGTGAAATAAGTGATGACACAGAATTAGTGATGTTGAGTATAATAATAACTTCATCTAATTACATGATAATTATATTGAAAACATTTACCCAAAATATTCTTAATTCTGGAGTAAGTCTATAGAATCAAACCAAATAGACTAACTCCGGAATTAAGAATATTTGGCTAATCCATAGGTACAACTGTAACAGCTACAAAAATAGATCGAAGCACAACAGGTTGACTTATCTATTATGACCAACATTGTGATGGGTTGTGCACTGTGAACAGGTGAAGCTATAATGGTAACAAGAGGGCAATGATGAACCTAGATCGCTTACCTGACCCATCAAACTCATCCGAACAATTACCTAGACAAGCATTCTGACCAAGTTTCATGACAGGTGAGTGAACAAGAGCTGTCAGAAGGACAGCGCGCTCGACTTTTTTAGTGCTTGCCTATAAAACAAAACTTTGACAGTTAAGGGCACACAAGACTTTAACTAGGAATTTCTAAGTACAAATCAAGAAACATTTTCACAGAGTTATCTTCTCTTGCTTACAGATAGGTCTCATGATGGCACATAAGAACTCCAACTTCCAAAGTAATATCTCAAATGGTTAAGTCAACAAGTGGACAAGAATGAAAATTTTAACTGAGTTTCTAAGTCAAAAAGGGCCATAATTCAAATAAAATCCTTAACAGAATTACCTTCTCCTGCCCATGTTTTGGGACCATGATGGTAAACAAGTATTCCAACTTTCAATTTAATATCTCAACCAGTTCAGTCAAAAAGTTGACTGGTACAAAAAAGTTAACCAAGATTCTAAGTCGATAAAAGGCCTTAATTTTTAAAACAAATCCCTGACAGAGTTACCTTCTCTTGCGTACAGATGGGGTAATGATGTGAAATAGCATTAAAAGTTTCAAAGCAATATCTCAAAGGGTTAAGGCAATAAGTGGATTTTACCCATATTCAATGTATTTTCTAAGTCAAAAAGGGGCATAATTCTGTCAAAAACCTTGACAGAGTTATGTCCTCTTGTCTGTTGATGGAGGTCGTGATGGTAAACAAGTATGGTCAGTTTCAAAGCAATACCTCCAATGGTTTTGAAATAAAGTGAGGTGGTACAAAAAACTTAACCAAGCTCAATACACTTTCTAAGTCAAAAAAGGGCCATAATTCTGTCAAAAACCTTGACAGAGTTATGTACTCCTGTCTGTAGATGGAGGTTATGATGGTGAACAAGTATGGTAAGTTTCAAAGCCATACTTGTAATACTTCTGAAATAAAGTGGGGTGGTACGAAAAACTTAACCAAGGTGTGACGCCGACGCCGACGCCGACGCCGACGCCGACGCCGGGGCGAGTAGGATAGCTCCCCTTTTCATAGAAAAGTCGAGCTAAAAATGTGACCACTAGAGTGTTAACAAGGATTATCCATATTTGAGCAGTGTGACCTAGTTTTTTACCCAGGTGGCCCATATTCCAACTTGACCTAGAAATCATCAAAACAAACTTTCAGACCAATTTCCAGGATACTTGGATTAAAACAGTAGCCACTAGAGTATTAACAAGATTTTCTAATTTTAGCTCCGGTGACCTAGTTTTTCATGCGAGATGACCCATGTTTTAACTCATCCAAGCAATTACCTAAACAAGCATCCTCTGACCAAGTTTGATGATAATTGAGTCAAAAATGTGACCAATAGAGTGTAAACAAGGTTTTTCCATTTTTGGGCAGTGTGACCTAGTTTTTACCCCAGGTGACCCATATTCAAACTTGACCTAGAAATCATCAAAACAAACTTTCAGAACATTTACAGGATATTTGGACCAAACAGTAGCCACTAGAGTGTTAACAAGATTTTTCTATTTTTTGGCTCCTGTGACCAAGTTTTTCATCCGAGATGACCCATGTTCAAACTCATCCGAGTATCACCTAGACAAGCATTTCTATTTTTAGCTTGGGTGACCTAGTTTTTCATCCGAGATGACCCATCATCCAAGCTATCACCTAGACAAGCATCCTGAAAAGTTTGATGATGATTGAGGCAAAAATGTGACAGCTAGAGTGTTAACAAGGTTTTTCTATTTTAAGCTCCTGTGACCTAGTTTTTCATCCGAGCTGACCCATGTTCGAACTCATTCAAGCTATCACCTAGACAATCATCCTGACCAAGTTTGATGATGATTGAGGCAAAAATGTGACTGCTAGAGTGTTAACAAACAAGTGTGGACGGACGACAGACATTCAACAATCCTAAAAGCTCACCATAAGCTAGCTTAGGTGAGCTAAAAAATTGTTTGTACTGGGGGAAACCCACATTTGCCAAGTTCCGGATAACATCTTTTAATGCCTAGAGCAGATGTCCACTAGACAAATAACAAAGGCTATTTGGACGTCAAGAGTGCAATGTCCTCTTATACTAGCTATAATCATTTGCAGAGTAAACAACAGAATATCCAAACCTTCAGCATTTGCTGCTAATATATTGTATATCATGTTAAGAATTTAAAATTAAAACACCCAAGCTTTTATCTGAATTAAATCTTGGTCATTACATATCTGTCCAGACACATGGTACTGCACTATGTTCAATTTAGGTAATTAAGATACCCTTCGTGCTGGGCCTTATCTATCTATCTAATTTCCGTTAATGTCAAACCCCTCGCAGGGACATAGACATGTCTGCGCATCAAAAAACGCAAGAAAGTTAAAAAGAGTTGTTTAAAAGAGGATAAAAGAATAATTAAAATGTTAAAAACAGGAAAACTAGGGTGAGACACGTTCAATGCAAGCTATGACTGCACTGAACTGCTCTGGGGTAGGGAGTAGGGCAACTGCATGGGGTACATGTAGGTGGACTGATTCTGGCACAGTGGTACACCATCCTAGGAAAGAATGAGCATTCATAATAGTCTGAAGTTCCTGTGAATAACCTATAAAATAAGGGATGGCCATGGCGTGACATTCGGGACAGGGGTGTCAAATATTCTTCTATAGGGATAGCAACGCTTCATCTGATATAGCCTCGGTAACATCTGGTGTACCGCAAGGAACAGTCCTCGGACCAACACTCTTTTTAATCTACATAAATGATATCGCAGATAATATTACATCAGGTATACGTTTATTCGCTGATGATTGTGTGTTATATCGGCCAATAACTAATCAAAGTGACAACATAGCTCTCCAGGAAGATCTTAGTAAACTTGAAAATTGGTCGGACATTTGGCAAATGGAATTTAATGTTAAAAAATGCGCCATTATGCAATTTTCATCGTCTTCATATAAAAAGAAATATGACTACAAAATGAAAGGCGAAACATTGGAAATAGTCAACCGGCATCCGTACTTAGGAGTTGAATTCAGTGATAATTTGAAATTCAACAACCATATTAATAACATCACAAAAAAGGCAGCAAGTACACTTGGTTTGGAACTTAAGATACTGTCCTCCCAAAGTAAAAGAAAAAGCTTACATTAGTTTGGTCAGACCTAAACTAGAATACACTTCTTCAATATGGAATCCTTTACAAAAGACTCAAGTTAAACAGATAGAACAGATCCAAAGAAACGCAGCGAGATGGGTATTGAATAGACCGTATAACCCACACAATCCTTCTAGTGTAACTGAACTGATAAATAAATTACAATGGCCCAGTCTTCAACAACGAAGAGTATGGGCAGATGCGACTCTCATGTATAAAGTAGTTAACTTTTTAATAGCTGTGCCAGTGTTATACATGTACCATCCCACTATTGCCACCGTTCGTTCAACCCTAAGAAGTCACAGTATGAAATTCATCCCAATTCAATCTAGAATCAACGTTTATCACCACTCATTTTTTCCAAGAACTGTTAATACCTGGAATATTATACCGGATTCTTGTGTTACTACTGAGAGCCTGTAGGCGTTTAAATCTTCCATCCAGCTCGTTCCAGTCGTACCATCATATGTTTAAATGGACACCACCTTGTAAAGTGTAAATACATGTTGGTCACCAGACCTTTTAGGGTGTAGTTTGGAACATCAGTTTGTCATGGGACAGTTGTGATACAATTGTGTAACATAGTTTTAAAAATTTATGTCGGAACACGCCACTCTACACCGATCTACAGTCTTCACCTCCTCGACGTCGATGTCTACCTCATGGATATTGTCGAGTAACCCCGTTGAAGTTGAACCATGGTAAATCTTATAGAGAAGGGATAACCTACACGTAGCATCTTAGACATACATTAAGTGTCAACATCAGAACTGAACAAACTAGTTTGTTAGTTAGGAGAAGAATCTAGCTGCACTATTTTCAGATCTGTAGCTTTGAAATTATGAAATCTGTAAGGAAAAATCTCCAAAAAGTGTCCGGTTAATGGTCCCTGACCAATACCCCACCCACCTTTCGACAACAGAGTATGAAAATGGTTAACAGCGGATTATACATATTCTTAATATTGTCATCAAACTGCAGTCCTGCCGTCGGCAAGTATATAAGTTTCTGCAAGTTTTGCCGACAATTAGTAGCCCTGATGCTTCTGCAATGACACTTTTTAATTTACCTAAACCCTTTTGACGTTTTGTTTACAATTGCAGCTCTTCTCCGGGCGCGTCATCAAATGAAGAGGCTCTACACCACCAAATTATTTCCTTCTATTAGATCCTCGTATTTCATTTAGTTTTTCCAGACAAATGTGCACCTGTGTAGGGGGAAGCCTTTGGGAGGCGAAATTTATGGTTTTTGCGAAAAGATGATGCTCAAGGGAAGTTATACAGTTGAGTTTAAAGTAAAATTCCCGACCTTGTGCACATGGTGTGCTAGAAGTGCACACCATGTGCACTTCTAGTGCACTAGACCAAATGACTGTATAGGGTGACACTTTATTGGCTTAATGGTCATTGCATAGCAATTGACCAAGGTAAAGTCATAGATTAACTATTTTCATAATATTTTATAACTTTTGAGATACATTCATTCATAAAAGTTTAATTTGAATAATCAGTTTGGATGTTGCTAAAAAAATTTAATACTGAGTTAGAAATATGACTAATATACTATATTTTTTAAGATTAACTCCCCCTTTGGTACTTTATGTTTTATATAACCCTTTCTTGGATAATTTGTTTATTATAAATGCTTTAAAGTTTGCATGATAACAACTGAATAGGGTATGTTATTGTTTTATGAAAGCAGGAAATTTTCTTTTACATTATGCATGTATAGACAAATCCTGTTAGACACCTTTTTAAGAGGAATGACAGAAAATTCAGTCAATTCTCAATTGTGAAATAAATTATAATATGACCATTATGAATATTTCCATAGTACTCGTTTTATTTTGATAAGTATTTTTATGTTAATTAGAAGTCTTAAAGTGTTTGAATATGGCATTCATAGATGAAAAAGAATGAAAATAATCCACTATTACACTTGTTTAAATGCGTTTTACTAATAGAAATGACATATTATTTCTAAATAAACATCATTTTTATATAAATTTGATTGCTTGTAATCATAATTTATTAAGCCCTTTTTAAATGGTGTTTCGTTTGCAGGAAAATACTTTAAAAAAAAGAATAGAATGTCAAAAATCATGCTATCATAGAGAGACTGTTTGCATAGTACCTTTATCCTGCTGTGAAAGGGCCCAAGGGGTATATAACAAGTTCAAATAAAAGTATACAAGGTTGATCATTATAATACAGTGTATTTTTTTAATTCGATTTTGTAAAAGAAGGCAACAGTTTTATTGAAATGATAAAAAACAAGTAATTTTTAACACATAAACTCATTTTTGAAATTCATTTCAAAACTCAAATTATCATTAAAACGCTTATGTTGAAAGGCAATCTTTTTCAGACTTCTCTTGCAGAGCTGCATAACAGTTGATTTAATAACTTCATGATTTTTATAGTTTATTAAAAAAATATAATAAAACAGGTTTTAAATCTAAGTCAGAGTGAATATTTCATTCAATCTATGTCCAATTTATCTGCATTTTTTTTCAGTAAATGGAATGTCGTCTAAAGACATATACAGATATGCATCTATCTTTAGGTTTTAAATGTTCGAATCAAGTTCTAGACTTATCTATTTTTATTGAATATCTTTGGTATATACAAAATTTGTAGACATTTCTCTTAATCTGTTGGTCACTTATACATTCTAACATGGTCCAAAGTTTAAACTTCAATTTGAAAACTCATTCATTTTTAAAGATAAATACAGTTTGTACATGTATATATGTTTTTTTTAAAGATAAATACATGTATATGTTTTTGATTTTTTAAAAAATAACTTTACTGCTTTAATATTTGCATTATTCACAAAAAAGTATTTTATCTTAAAATTGCTAATTGCTTAATTGCTAATTACCTTATGTTTTTCAAGCTTAGATAAATGTGTATGCGTAACATTTTTTAGAGTGACCAAGTGTACAATGTAAGTCGGCTCGAGGCTTTAACCTGGAAAGAATTTCATGCATGGATCTGTGTAGTTAGACTGTCCCAGGTAACTACTAGAAAAGTCATATTAGATTTCATTCCATCTTCTTCTTCTTCCAATATACTGGCCACCTTCAACTAACTGAAGTTTACTGCCAGGTTAATGCGCAAGACGGACGGAAAGAGTAAAAATAGTGAGGAATATATACAGTGCAGGTTAAAAACGGACAAGAGTGTGGTTTAGATATAGAGTTGGGACAGATGAGTACGGAATGACTCAACTGTACCGGCTGACGTAGCGTCTGGAGGTAGGCTGTTCCATTCTTTGATGGTACGTGGGAAGAAGGATTGTTGACGGTATTGTGTACGGCAGTAGGGTATCTTGTAGGTTAGGTTGTGTGAATTTCTTGTAGATTTGGAGTTGGAGGGTATGAGTTGTGAATTGTCTAGAGCGACCTTGTTGTTGATGACTTTGTAGAGCATGATCACTCTGGCCTCCTTTCGACGTTCTTGTAATGGTTTCCATTCAAGATCTGCAAGCATATCTGTGACGCTGGACCTGTTGTGGTACTTGTTTTTAACAAACCGTGCAGCACGTCGTTGGACCATGTCTAGACGGTGTATGTCTCCCTTCTCGTGGGGGTCCCAGACAGTGCTCGCATACTCTAATTTGGGGCGGACTAGAGCTTTGTAGGCTGTTTCTTTTGTGGAAGTAGAGGCGATGTTGAGGTTTCTTCGCAGGAAGCTGGTGGTGCGGTTGGCTATGTTACAAATGTTGTGTATATGTTGGCCCCAGTCTAGGTTGTTATTCAGGGTGCATCCAAGGTATTTAGCTGATGTGACGTGCTCTTAAGTATGACCATGAAGAGTGTAGTTATGGCAGATGGGGCTTCTTTTCTTGGAGATGGTGAGGACTTGGCATTTGTCTGGATGGAATGACATTTTCCATTTCTCTTCCCAGACAGCTAGTTTGTCGAGGTCAGCTTGTAGGGTGGAACAGTCAGACTTGTTTGTGATGGCAAGATAGGCCAGCGTATCATCTGCAAATAGTCGGACGACTGCGTTGAGACCCTTTGGGATGTCATTTATGTAGAAGAGGAACAGACTCGGGCCAAGGACTGAGCCCTGTGGGACGCCGGATTCTACAGATACTGTATCTGAGGTTACCCCTTCCAAGACTACAGATTGGGATCGGTTGCTTAAGAAAGCCTGAATCCACAGGTTGGTCTTGCCTCTGATGCCGTAGTGCTCCAGTTAGTGGGATAAAAGGCTGTGACAAACTTTGTCGAAGGCCTTAATTGGCGAAGTCCATGATGAGAACATCAGTCTGTTTGCCATTTTCCATGTTCCGGGTTATGTCATCTGTGAATTCAAGAAGCTGTGTTTCACAGGATCTGCCCTTTCTGAAGCCATGTTGGAGAGGATAGAGAATCTTTTGTTTTTCGGCATGGTTCATGATGTGGCTGGTGACAATGTGTTCTAGGAGCTTGCAGCAGATGCACGTTAGGGAGATAGGGCGATAGTTTTCTGGTTTATATCTGCTGCCTTTCTTGTAGACTGGGGATACATTGGCTTTCTTCCAGTCATTAGGGATGGTGCTATTTTCAAGTGACAGAGTGAAGATGGTGTTGAGTATTGGAGCGATGTCAGATGCCAATTCCTTGAGGATGCGAGGACTTATGGTGTCGGGTCCTGCAGCTTTATGTGGGTTCAGTGCGAGAAGGAGTTTGGTGATTCCGTTTGTGGTTATCGATATTTCAGGGGCTACAGGATGTGTTGATTGTGGATTGACGTAGTCCCCCTTCTTGAAGTCATCAGCAGTGATCTTGATGTTGTCTGTGAATACAGATTTGAACTGCCGATTTAGAATGTTAGCTTTGGACTTAGGATCGGAGTGGAGTTGTCCATGTTCTTTTAGTCCAGTAATTGTTTGATTGTCTTTCTTCTTGTGTTTTATGAAGGTCCAGAAACGTTTCTGACTGCTGTGTATGTTTGGATCTGAAGGCTGCGGTGTTACAATATTATCGACATATGTCCAGTAGGCTTGTCCATACTATAAAGTATCATATCACTTATGTTTAGTACACTTACTAGACTATAATGTATTCACTAGCAATGAAAGGCACATTTCAGTGCACTTGTGTCAAATTTTGCATAAATTTAGCACTATGAAACCAAATTTTAGCACTAAATAACCTCAAGTATCTTAATCGACGAGAGATTATGAGTCATCAACAAGAAACAAATAGGGGATTATAAGGTAATTTTGAATAAATTGTACGGTTCATTTATCTAACATACGTCTCTGATATTCGAAATAATGATAGTTTTGAAAATCTGATGCACTTTTAAAAATAATTAAAATCAATTAACCTCTCAGCATGTATTACAGTTCCGGATAGAACGCGTTTTCGGACATTTAACTGTTTAATATATTGGTATGTCTATACTGTAGAATTATTTTAATGAAATGGCATGTAAAAGATAAATTATGTAGAATCTTAATGCATTTCAGTTTTCATTTACTATAAGTTAAACTTTATTGGAATGAACAATATGATTTTAGTTACAGTGAACTGTACAGCTGTAGTCCTAAAAATATGATGTCGCTTTGAAAGTTTGAGATATTTTTCCTTCTGGACCTGACCGACATAAACTTTAACAAGCCAATAACGTCTGATATATTTGACTATGTAGATCTATAGTATTAGTTTGTGATTTTTCAGTTTATGTACACTGTCTTTAAAGTTATATAGTTTTTTTACAGTGTTTTAGATTTTGTACTTTTTGGTGAAATTTTCAGGGATGTGTGAAGTTTTGATTTTCTATTATTCAAAGATAACAATTCCCAAATGACCCGAATACTTAAAAAAGAAATATATGTCACTACAGGTTGGAGACAAGACCTACATCAAAGTTTCAAACCTAGTCCTATATACATTTGTATCAGATGTTATGGGCTTGTTAATGTTTATGATGGTCAAGCTTTGCCAAGAAGTAAAAGATATCTCAAAGCAACATCATTATCAGTCATATTTATAGAACTACTGTTCTACATCAAACCCTGAAAATGCCCTGATTGAGTTGTTTGATTTGTTCAGTGGTTGCCAATCAAATTCTTCTTTTGTAACAACAATAACTATATATATGTTTTTTTTTCTATAAAAAATGTACAGTAGTTATATTGATTTTTAACTTTCTTAAGTGGTTATAGTTTTTATGTCTATTAGAAGAATGTAGACTTAGAAAATTCTGATGTTATGAGTGCAACCTGACCTCTACCTGACCCAATTAAATACTCCACATCACAGGCCTCAAATACAAGTGTCAACATAATCAGAAATAAACAAACTAACACTTCAGTTTCAGTTGGGAGAAGAACGTTGCTGTATTGTGTCAAATTTTCAGGTATCTATCTTAAAAATTGTGAAATTTGTTAAGTGTAAAAAAAAAAGTCCAAATAGTGTTAGGCTGATAGTGCCCCGTCCAGTATTTGCAAATTTGTTAGACAAGTTTTTCACTACTGTTTTTGTTGAGGAGCTGCCAGGACCACTGCTAGTGTTTGATACGACACTACTAAAAGACTCTGGTTTATACATGTACTTACTACTTAGAAAGGGTTCACTTAGAAATGACACTTTGTTGTCCCTTATTCTTGTAAAGTGCTAGAATAAATGCTTCTTTGCAAACTTGAGGTGATTCCCCTGTTTTAAAAGGTTTATGGAAATGGACCTATGTAAAGGTTAACTGTAAAGTTACTTATAAGCCTACAGTAGGGTGACAGGAGTCAGGACCCGTAGGTTTGTTCACATATATGTTTAGCAGTTGCTTGTGGACAATTTCTTTATGGACAAAAAGTTTAGATACAGGATAGTTATGTAAATATAACATTGCTTTTTGATACAGCCTTACTTATGTAACAAGCTACATGTACATTTGTGAAAAGTTAGTGCATGAAGTTAAAATGTCAGCACATGAAATTGAAGTCAGTACACTTCTACATGTACAATGTATGTAAGTCAATTCAGCTAAAGAGCCTTAGAGAAAGAGATGTTCTATTTTGCACTTTTAAATAGATGTTTGAGATGAATTTGTTAAAAAAAAATGAAAATGGCATACAAAAGGTAATTATATTTTTAGTTAATATAAAGAACTTTTTTAACCTATTTCTACGTTGAAAATTCTTTTTGAAATAAATAAATACAGTTTTAGTGTTGAGATCATTAGGTGATCGGAGTCATAGACAGTGAGTCGTATTAAATTAATGGAAAAAAAAACAGGATACCACAGGGCTCAGTACTTGGTCCAGTTTTCTTCATTTGCTACAATTAGCTATAATAATGATTTGCCTGTTGACTTCAGTTCTGTAAATAATTTGCATATGACAGAAAATCTTTAGTGCAATACATTCTCCAAATGCTCACAGGCCTTTTTTCCTCTATTTTGGGAAAATGTCACATGGGAAATTTGTGCCGCAAAATTTTCCAATTTGGGAAAATATGCTAGCATTCAAGGTGTTACAATTGTTGAAATAAATCTAAATAAATCTAACTTAACTGTTCAGCTTTTTCTGTCATATCAAAAATACAAAGACAGGCTAAAATGTGTACAAATGTAAAACTGATATCAATTAAAAATCCTGTTTTTATTACACTAAACATTAATATATTCCATAACGCTATTTTGCAACACCAAAATTGAAAATGTGGTACTTTTTCTTTCAAATTGCCGACTTCTAGATTGGGAATATTTTTTTTGGATTGGGAAAAAAAACAACATAATTTGGATGGGGAATGGAGCCAATATTCGAACCCTTGGGATAGGGGAAAAAAGGCCTGGCTCACGACAAAGTTTAGAATGACATTGAAAACTTTTGTGACTTGAGTGAGAAATGATTACTTCAGTTTTATTATTCCAAAATGCAAGTTTGTCCTATTGAGTAATGGTGAGTTTTGACAAACTGAAAGAGTATCATATAAGGGACTATCTAAATTTCCCAAATTTCATTGAGGAAAAAGACCTTGGTATTACATTTGAAAATAATTTGAAATTCAATGAATAAACATACAACAAAAGTGGGTAGTAAGTAATAGGCATGGTAAAAATTCTTTTCAAGTCATGGACATAAATTTGTTACTAAAATCATAAAAAATCATGGTAGTAAAGTATGGTTTCTATCGCCAAAGAAGTGGTCAACTTATTGAAAACATTCACAGAAGGGTCTGTAATACATGTATTATTCAAGAATTAAATGGATGTTCTTACCAAGAAAGATTGCAAGAACTGCATCTTTCTACAATCCTTTGTCGAAGAAAACGGTACAACATGATTCAAATGTTTTAGTTAACAAATGATCATGACAAGAGGACTTTGATTGAAAAACTAAAGATTCTTATAAAATGACAATGATACATGTACATAAAGTGTGTATAATTTGCTGATTAAACCAGGATGTTTGAGAGAGAAAAAAACATGATAAGAAAAATCCCTTTTAAAGATATATCACATGTAGATTAACTTGAAGTTAATTGTTATCCATAATAAGGTTAGATGTGCACTAACAATTGGTTTTTTATGAAGCTTGAATTCCTTTTATTGATGGAAATGTTAGATGAGCAATCAAGGGCCAAATTTTGCCCTTTAGATGAGCAATCAAGGGCCAATTTTTCCCTTTAGAAGAGTGATCAAGGGCCAATTTTGCCCTTTAGATGAGCAATCAAGGGCTAATTTTTCCCTTTAGAAGAGTGATCAAGGGCCAATTTTCCCCTTTAGATGAGCAATCAAGGGCTAATTTTTCCCTTTAGAAGAGTGATCAAGGGCCAAATTTTGCCCTTTAGATGAGCAATCAAGGGCTAATTTTTCCCTTTAGAAGAGTGATCAAGGGCCAATTTTCCCCTTTAGATGAGTGATCAAGGGCCAATTTTCCCCTTTAGATTAGCAATCAAGAGCCAATTTTTCCCTTTAGAAGAGTGATCAAGGGCCAATTTTCCCCTTTAGATGAGCAATCAAGGGCCAAATTTTCCCCTTTGGATGAGCAACAAGGGCCAATTTTCCCCTTTAGATGAGCAATCAAGGGCCAATTTTTCCCTTTAGAAGAGTAATCAAGGGCCAATTTTCCCCTTTAGATGAGCAATCAAGAGCCAATTTTTCCCTTTAGATGAGTGATCAAGGGCCAATTTTTCCATTTAGATGAGCAATTAAGGGCCAATTTTCCCCTTTAGATGAGCAATTAAGGGCCAATTTTTCCCATTAGATGAGTGATCAAGGGCCAATTTTTCCCTTTAGATGAGTGATCAAGGGCCAATTTTTTCCCTTTAGATGAGCAATCAAGGGCCAATTTTCCCCTTTAGATGAGCAATTAAGGGCCAATTTTTCCCATTAGATGAGTGATGAAGGGCCAATTTTTTCCCTTTAGATGAGTGAACAAGACCAAATTTTCCGTTTAGATGACTTATCAAGGGCTAATTTTTCCCATAAGATGAGTTATCAAGGGCCAAATTTTCCTTTCATTGCCTAGATCACTACAAGTTCATTCAATTTTGTTCTCACTTATGAAACATAAGGATTTTGAGGGGAGCTGCAGCATAGGGGTTAAGGTGTCCGCCTCTCAACCCAGGGATCATGGGTTCAAGCCCTAATCGGGTCACAATCTTGATTACTCATTTTACACTATTACCATACATGTGAACTCTCCCACTTTTGGCGGGAGACTCCCACTTTCTAAAGACTTGTCTTAAAATATTTTTGGGGTATTTTCACAAATTTAGGAAATCTCCCTATTTTTTATGTCAGAACTTCCTTCTTTGTTTATTGCAAATTCTAAAATGTCCCTCTTTTTGAGGAAAAATCTCCCATTTGATCATCAATAAAGTTATGTATTACGGGTTAGTTCCAGGAAGATGACTGGAAAGTTAATATTATAAGTTGCAAAAACATATTTGGCAATCAAGTTTAAACTAATCTAAATAAAACTCAAGGATTTTCTCATGGAATGCCAAATTAATATAAACTTTAAAAAATTGAACCTCTAACAATTATTTAAAACTCTCTGTAATTGAATGAATGCTGATTTTGAATGAAACCTCTGTTTTAATTCATGATTAATCCCAGCAGGCAGTCACTGATTCACACCTACCTCTAAAATGATTAACGCTTGCTTTTTCAACATGAATTGCTCAACACAATTAAACAATTCAAAAAAAGTTTGGACATTAAATCATTTTAATTAAACATTGATTCAAAATTGCAGAAAAATGAAAT